TTATGAGGGCAATTGCACAGATGGCTTGATCACTTGGCCCAACTGCCAGCACAACCTCCCCCAGATACAAACCACCACCAACACAATTAGTATGCACAATAAACCCAAACACATAGCCAGCCCCTCATGGCAACACACACCCTTCATTCATCATCAAAAAAATAAAAATCAGTACACACCCCCCACTCAGTCTTACCATAAACTTAAGTGACACAAATTTGAGTTCAGTCATTTTTAATTTACAAATTACACTTGTGAAACAACCCAGCTTTTCAGCTGCTCGTATATAAGTAAGAAAACTGAGTTTTATTTCATTTTTTAAAAAGGTACAGGCTTTTAAAGTATGGTCTGAATGTGTTGAAGTAGCCAGGGCTCCAAAAGAATGCTGGTTTCATTGTATTGTGTGCTCAGATTGTACAGGAAAGTGCATTTAACTTGTGGCTAGCAAGTAATTGCATATGTCATTCTTTGAGAGTTTTTTTTTTAAAAAGCAAACGTGGGACATTCCATCCCAAACACTACATCAAAGGAACATTAATATTGCAAAATAAAGCATGCCAAAGGCTGGAAATGCCAAATTTAATGTTGTCTGCATAATCTTAATACTGCCCTCTTATGCCCTTATGATGCAACTTTTAATTATATGAACCCCTATTTTCCTCTACATGACCCAGTGTGCAGATTGGACATTGAAAGAGACAAGCCCCAGACAACTGCCGCCTTCATAACAGATTTTTGTTAGTGGCACAAGAAAGAGTTGTGGAATTCATGCTTTACAGACTCAGCTTAGCCTGGGACAGATAACGTGTTGTTAAAGAGACAGGGACCTACAGACTCCACCTCATTCAGTCCAAGGGTTGCACGGCAAGCAGTGCATTAAGAATATGGCCCACACACTGAACAATGAGGATACTATAAATATTAAAAAGCTGCCTTATTCATGAAGCATATCTAATCTCTTCACTGAATGAGGCAGCCTTTTAGGAAAACTACTATGTGATCATGTAATCTGAGCCCATCATAATGCATATGCACCAGGGGTGGAGTTGAAGTTGTTCAGGCACCTTAACTTTGGCTTTCTACACCATTAGAGATTCCATTTGCAACTTAATAATCTTTTAATATAGCAGGGGTGGGGAGGTGTTAATGGAATGTTTTACACTTTCTGTACATCTTCCAATGGGGGGAGGGGCGGGGAAGAGAGAGAGAATAGGGACAAAACCAAAGGGTTTACCAATATAAATTATATGCCATTCTCTGTTTCCAGTATCTTCAATTCCCTACTTACTGATATTTAAGTGCAGAAATCACTTATTGCGGGGGGGGGCGGGGGGGAGGGAGAATCACAGCATGTCTCCCATCTCCATGTACGCTAAGATCTGGAAATGTCAAAATAATCCACAAGAGTGCCCCATAAATAGCAAAGTCTAATTTCTTTTCTTCATTTATTTTTACTTTCTCAATAACCTTAATTATTTTCTCCTCCTTCACATCTTGTCTTATTTGACTACTCATGAGTGACATAAGAATTTTTCACTGACAAGCTGGAGTTCCTATGCCATTAATTTCTGCAGAAACTAACCTTTCATTAATAAAGGTTCTAACCACTAAAATTCTGAAGATAACCTTCCAAATGTGAACAGATGCAGAGCGCTCTTCTTTCTTCTAGGAGTTTCAGCACCTCTGATACTGCCAAGAGCTTTCCTGATATATTGGGCATATTTTATTCACTCACCAAACCTTTCATAAAGATGGAGTGTTAAGTGATGCTGCCGTACAACATGCCTTCCATTCCCAGAATATGGGACTTCAAATCCCCAAAATCAAACATTAAAAAACCAGGAAACATTCAGATGAGGTCTCCTCACATACCCTTGAGAAGTGTTATCATTACAAGAAAATCAAATCAAGCTTATGAAGGCCAGGAAATACAGAGTTAACTTGATATTTCATGAACACCTGCCCTCCCCATTAGGATACCTGCACATTCATTTTGAAGTATAAATTATTAGCCTAAACTGCAGAAATACAGCCATAGTAAATCCTCCTAATACATGACTCTTTTGGACAGCCCTTAGATGCCTGTCTGTACCTTAGGTGGATTTCTGGTTTTGACCTCCATATGTTAGCTGGAAATAACATTTGAGTTGAAGAGTCATAGTTAATCAAGCGTAGATTTTCAATAACCAAATCTTGTTAAGGTGATAAATGCAGCTGTTGCTTGGTAATTGGTGACATTATTTCCATCTGGACATCCCCACCGGCTTCCATGCTACTGCCAAGATATGCGAATTTACTCACTTCTTGTGCTACTTTGCCTTCTAAAGAAATGCTCGAGTTGTGAGTTGCTGAATTCTCATTAGATTTGTTTTTTCATAACTATTAATCCTGTCTTGTTAGCGATGCTTCACTTAGCCCTCACTAAACCACGGAGACCACTTTAATGTATGCAACCAGACTGCTGACAACCTCAAGGTAAGACACTTGTTCACCTCTACAGACAGACAAGATTCAGCACTGAAACGAGTTATACTTGATCTCTGAAGGTATACATGCACCTCTCTTCATATCACAGCAAAAGCTCTGCCAAAATGCTCTGCCAAGATGCTCCAACTAATTCTTCCACCATTCAATAAAGTTATACCTAACTGTGAATGCAGCTGTAGAGCATGCAGATGCATGCTGGAATTCAAAACTATGCCATTGTTCATGTTGTTTCACATTCTTAATCCTTCCTCATATCTACCTATAGCAGATTCATAGGTTTTAGGATCAGAGAGTAAACTTCCCACAAAATCTTCCCCATGGAAGGTGATTATAGTTAGTTTACAATGTAAGTTGGCTCCAGGACAGGACTGCAGCAAAGGGTGGTAACATGGCTCCAGCAGTAATTGAAGCATGGTCAATACTGTCCATTAATTAAAGCACAAACACTGGTTAGTGTGCCCACATGCTCTCAGACAGCACCTCCCCAGAGCAGAGGATGACTGTGAAAGTGGGATAGCCTCTCCCTCTCCTCCAAGAGAGGACAAAAATTGGCTCATCAGTGCACCCTGCCAATCCATCTCAGAGTTAAAAAGAAGGCTGTCAGGCCCCTTTGAGCCAAAACAGGATACTAAAACTTGTGTGTGTGTTGAGGGGAGAGGGACAGCTCAAAAGAGTGCCACTGATCTAGGTGCTTATACATCATCCCTCACTGTAGTATCAGAGCACCTCAAAAACAATTAATTTATCCTCATAGAGGTGTTGTAAGGAAGAGGTGAGGAAGTTTTATCATTTTAAAATGGGGAAAACTGGCATTCCACTTTAAAATCAATCACACTGTGGATATTAATTTTAAAGCAACTACAGAATTCAGTTTTTAATAGAGATCATGCTGCAACCCTAACTATTGCGCAGTTAGTGCTGCCCATAATATAGGCTGTTCTTCTCCCCAAATGAGGCCTCACACTTCCTCTTGGCTAATACATTTAGGATATTCCAATAATGTATTCATGGATTGGTTTGTGATGTTCTTGTTGATTCCCCTCCTTGAGGCATTAAGTTTGGGATATGACTTAACAGAATTAGGGGTATCTGTTCTGCTGTTGCTGCAGTAAGTAGCTTAGAGGGAGAATGACAAACCTCTGAGGAGAAAATGACAGCCTGCCAGCGCCACCAACTGTAAATATTTCCCCTGGATCAGGACTTGAAAATTTCACTTGCTAGTGACAAACGGAAGCTTTCTACTTTAACTATGGGAGGCCCAAGCCATTGTTTTCTACAAAATATACAATTTTACATAAGAAAGAGATAGGTTTTGAGGTTATAAAGATCACATGTGTAGACTCAGGAAGGCAGACAGCACCAGGACCACAACTGCAGCCCACCACTTTACCAAGCAGCAGCATTAATGGTGTGATATACTCTGCATAACTCTGATCAGCTTCAGAGTGCTATTCAAAATTCTGCAGAGCACAGTAAGACTCTGGCTGCTTGCTAGGAAAGCTATGGACATCTGCAGGCACAACAGATACTCCCTGAGAGAAGCCAAAGTGTAAATGGGGCAGAGGTGACTGCAAATCAAAACAGTCTTCTCATGCCACTCCCAGCTGCCAAGACCTCAAAAATGGGTAGCTCTGTGAAGCCTCTCTACCCAAGAGATAGCCAGGAAAGGTGAAGACTACAGAATCCTCACCACACGCAATAAGAGGAGCATCTTAAGGGAGGCATTTGGAGAACATCTGCCTTACAAAAAAATCAAAGAAGTTTCATGGGGAAGGGCAGTGGGGAAAGAGAAACATCTGTGAAGAAACATCTTATATAAAGATAACAAACCAAATGAGGGTGAGCTCATAGTGGAGAGGCACTGAGCACAAAGCACGAAAAGACAGAAGGGGACCAGTAGAGACGGCCAGTTCTTTAAGGTGGGCAGTTCCTTGAAAGTGAGGAAAAGAAACGCTAAATTGGCAAGGAAATTAACTCAGGCATTCGGAGAGAGGGAGGAACGAAACACACTATCCAAAATAAAACGGTGGCGCACACAAGGCCTCCTGCTTCGCGCGGGAAGGCAAGAACCGCGGAGGGTGTTCTGGGCAGCGACGCGATGCTTTGGGGAGCCGCTTCACCTGGGTCCCCTCACGGAGAAGGCGGCAGCAGGCCAGGCCCAGGCCCAGGCCCAGGCCCGACGGGAATCGCCACGAGCCTGCCCTGGGCCCGCCCTGAGGCGACGGCTCTAGCCCGGTACTCAGGACAGCCGGCCTCGGGCTCAGCCCTCGTCGGGAGGCCCGGCCCTGCGCTCAGGGCGTGGGGAGAGGCCCGGGGGCCGTGAGGTGCCCAAGATGGACGCAGCGCACCAGCTTCCCGCCGCGGCCTTGCCCCTGCCGGGGCCCCGCGCAGCCTCCCCGCGCGCCAGACGGGCGCGCCGCCGAGACACCGGCCCGCAGCCGCCCCCGGCGGGGCTCCGGGACAGAGGGCCAGGCTGCGGCCAGGGCGCCCCGGGGAGCTGGCTCCGCGCTCACCTCGCGTCGGCCGGTGGAGGCCGCAGTCGCCGCAGGCTCCTCTGCCGAGCGGGCCCTCAGCGGGAACGACCGGTACGAGAAGAGCAACCTCCAGGGACCCGCCCCGCGACTCGCCCCGCGCGTGCGCGCCCCTCGGCCCCCACACTGCGCATGTGCGCCTACGAGCGCGGTGTCCTCTGGGAGATATAGTCCCTCAGGGCGAGCTAGCTCCTCCCTCGAGCGAGGCTGGGGTCGCCATGACTCCGCCCCAACCGTCCTGGGGGCCGCAAATCGGGGCAGGCTTTGCGACCCTGGGCGCGCTGGGCACCCACAGGCGCCGCGCCTGCTCTCCCGGGCCCAGCGTTCTCCGGGGCAGCGCGATGGCTCCCCAGGGCAGCCCAGGTCCATGCAGCCTGCCCTCCCGCCCTGTGCGCTCGGCGCTGCACGCAGGGGAAGCCGGCCCAGAGGGGACATGTGACCAGAGCGGCCAGGCTGGGTCAGAGCAATGTCCGTCCAGCCCAGCGTCCTGCCTTCCGCCCGTGGCCAGTGCCAGGTGCTTCCGCAGGCGTGACCAGACCAGCGATCCAGCCCTGTCCTTGCCCTGCCTTGTGCTTTCTGCAATTCAAATGCGCCCGCAGTATTCCAAGGGTGGGTGCACATGGATCTCTACGGACGTATTATGATATTTTCAGTCTTACCTAGCCCTTTCCTGATGGTGCCTACCTTGTTCGCTTTTTTGTCTGCCGCTGCACATTAAGCAGATGTTTTCAGAGAACTGGCCCCAGTGACTCCAAGATCTTTTTTAGTTGTGACAGCTAATTTAGACCCATCATTTTATATGTATAGTTAGATCTATAGTTGTTTTTTTGCACCTATAAACATTGATTTTCATCTGCCATTTTGTTGCTCAGTCACCCAGTTTAGTGAGATCTCTTTGTAGTCAGCTTTGGACTTAACTCTCTTGGACCTAGAATCCAACGTGTTAAGGGACGTGACTTGTATCTGGGTGGAGAACTTCACTTATTTATTATTTCTTAACCACGAGTGTGCTTTGTGTTGTGCATATTGCAAGTATAAAGACACCCCATGATCCAGAAAAGCTTACAGTCAAAAAGAGAAGGCAAGAGGCACTGCAGGACCCATAGGAAGAGGTTCAGTACTTAGCTAGCTCCCAGTGACCACATATTTTTTACAAAGGCCAGAAGTAATTTGGGCCCAAACTTTAAAGTTTTTTCTTTAAAAAAGTCTTTATATTTTTTTAAGAAAACATAATTCTGTGTTAAACTACTGCAAGAAATGAAACAATGCAGAAGATGTTTAAACTCAAACCAAGGGGTGAGGGAGCGTAGGTAGATGAGGAAACAAAATGAACAGCATTTAACATAAAAGCATACGTCCCATCTCATAGGTTTTTGGAATTGACAGGCTGGTTCAGCCCCAAGGTCCAGGTGTCCTGTCTCCAATGGTTGCCTATGGCATGTCTTATACAGGTAAGATTAGATCAGTGGTTCTCAACCCGTAGCCCAATCAGCACACAGCTCCAGCCCATGTGACATCCTCAGGGCCATACAGGTAGTGTATATATTGTGTGAATGCAGCTCACAATGGTAAATAGGTTGAGAACCACTGGCCTAGATGATCACAATGGTCCCCTCTGCCTTGGGAATTTATGAAAAGTGAGAGGACAAGATTAAAGTCAAACAGAAAGAAAAGGGCTAGAGTGTTAAAAAAAGAAGAAGAAGAGTGACAATCCAAGAAGATAGCAGCACATTCAGTTACCAGAGGGCCATTGAACATGAGACAGAATAACTATCTCAGCAAGCTCAGAGGTTCAGGCAGGCGGTCTTGTCCTCTAGGGAAGGTTTATAGTTAGATCATGTTGAACTATTCTCTGTTCACCTCTCTTAGTAGAAATGGTGGTAATTTGGGAAGGGTGTTCCTGGAGTTCAGAGGGGAGATGTGCCAGCAGGCACTTCTTGTTCATGCTCCTAGGCTCATGCCCTCAGCAGGTTATCTGTGTCACTCCAGGTTACTACTAATAAAGTTCTTAGCTCTGTAGCTTTATTGTGCTCCTGGCTGCTCCACACCATGTGAAAGAGCCTGTTTCTCAGGTACCTTGTTTGACTCTACTTGGCCCTGGCCCCATTGTACTGAGGGGCCTTGTGGTGTGCAGGGCTAGGTCTGTGAGACTGAACAATGTGCTAATCACTAAAGCCTTGACGAAAAGGATCAAAGCCAGCACCAGTTGGAAGGGAGCCCTTCCCTGGAGGGGTGCCTGGATACAAGGCAAGCCGGGCTGAGGCAGGGAAGCCAAAGAAGCATACTTGGTGCAGAGTACGTGTTGCAGGGAGGTGCCGTAAAGAGGGAAACCAGGAATCCAAAGAATCCTTAGCCACAGTGACCCAAAAAGCAGAGTCTAACCAGGTCTGGGGAGGCTGAGGATGTACTGGAAGGAGCATGGGACAGCCAGGGGAAGGGGTGGCAGAAGCCCCCAAACATCAGGACCAGTTATACCATCAAAATCCTCCCAAATGAGGATGTTTGTCTGGTGGAGCATCCATCCCCTACTACTCCAAACCCCAGGACCAAGTGCTCCCTATCATCAGAGCTGGAGCTCAGGGCTTGTGCTAAAGTGGCTCAGTGCCTAGACTCAGTTGGGCCATCTTGTCCTTCTGGTTCTACTGAGCCAGACTGCAGCATCTATACTGTAGGGTATGCAGACTGCAGCTTCTGGGAGGGCCTCAGAGCAGGCTGGGAGTTTAATCTCAGATGTGAGCCAAGGTCAGTGGAGCTGGAAGGCATCAATAGAAACAAGGACAGCATTCTGGCTCACGGGGTATGTGCAGGTTGAGCCCCTAGAAATGCAGGCCCCTTTGGAACCACATAAATTAGAAAGACTTGAGGCCATCTCTGGTGCCTCTCTTCATGGTCCCTTCCAGTTCCTTCCTTCCCTTCCATCCCCTTTCCACAGACTGCTTCCCTGCTTCTTGTCTCTGTTCCTCACTAGGGTCTCCCTCTCACCACAAACGGGGCAAGTGCTGGGAAGGTGGGTGAACCGTGCCAGGTACACACCTGTGCTCATGGCTCCATGAAGGAGCTGCCAACCAATATCTCCAGCAGGTCGGGGGACAGTGTGGAATACACACTGTCCCAGCGGGGCTCCTCGTCCTCCATAGGTGGCAGATAGTCCTGCCACTTGGTGTTGGGGCGCGACGTGAGGGTGAGGAAGTGAAGGGTGTGGAGCACAAGTGTGTACAGCTGTTTCCTAGGCACGGTTCAGAAACAAACCAGCTGCAGGTCACACAACTGGCTTGGGTACTGCTGGGGAGGTTGGCCAGGGAAGCTTACAGCACAGGGGCCCAAGGGCAAGGTCTGGAGGGCCACGGGTGAGGGGCAAGTGGGGAGCACCCTCCTGCAGGACCGGCTCAAGAAAGGCCTGAGAGTACGGTTGCCAACCCTCTCGGATTGGCAAGGAGTCTCCTGGAATCAGCCTCGATCTCCGGTGGCTATTGAAAGTAATCTGGGAGATTTTTAATAGACCGCTAAAAGTCCAGTCGGCAGCACAGTGGGGCTAAGGCAGGCTCCCTGCCTGCCCTGGCTCCGCACGGCTCCCGCAAGTGACCAGCATGTCCCTCTGACGACTAGGTGCAGGGTAGCCGAGGGGGTCTCTGCGTGTTGCCCCTGCCCCAAATGCCTACTCTGTAGCTCTCATTGGCTGGGTTCCCAACCAATGAGAGCTGTGGGGGCGGTGCCTGCAGGCAGGGGTAGCGCGCAGAGCCACCTGGCCAGCCCTGTGCCTAGGAGCCAGACATGCTGGCCACTTCCGGGAGCTGCCCAAGGTAAGCACCACCCACCTGGAGCCCACACCCCAACCCTGAGCCCCAGCCCTGAGCCCACACCCAAACTCCCTCCCAAAGCTCACACCCCCTCCCTCACCCCAACCCTATGCCCCAGCCCGGTGAAAGTGAGTAAGGGTGGAGGACAGCGAGTGGCGGAGGGAGGGGGATGGAGTGAGTAAGAGCGGGGCCTCAAAAAAGGGGCAGGGCAGGGGCATGGCCTCAGGGAAGGGGCGGGGCAAAGGTGTTTGGGTTTGTGCAATTAGACAGTTGGCAATCCTACCTGTGAGGCAGACAGTAAGGCTGCCCTCACCTCCTAGAGTATTTCCCAGGTGGTATGAGGGGGTGGAAAGCCCCGAGCACCGGCCAAGCGCAAGGGGATTCACCCAGTCCCTTTGGTCATAGTCCAGGAAGGCTCCGATCCAGGAGGCACCTGCCAGGACCAACCTCTGGCACACCAAGGAGACGGAGAAAGGGCTCAATGGCTAGCCTGTACAGTTGGCCTGACAGTGGGCAGCCTTGATGCACCCATTGCCCAAATCTGATGGGTTTGGTCAGGGTCCAGTTGAGCTTGGACTGGACTTGGACTCCCAGGGCTAGAGCTTCAATGTGCTTCAAGAACAGGAGGAGGAGATGTGAAGAAAAGTGCTGGAAGCCAAGGCCCCTAAGCAATACCACCCAGGTACTGCCTTAGCCACTCTGCAGCACAATCTCATCAGCAACAGCTTTACTGCCAAGCATTCTCCTTCCTCACTCTGCTCACACTTACTCTGCCCCTCAGCCATACTGCTGAGAGAAAGGGGAGGCCACAGCCCACTCACCCGTCTCACCGCAGACAAAGAACGTGTGAAACTGTAGGAGCAACGGCTCTGCGGCCCTGAGCAGGACCTGAGCAACAGGCTCAGGGACTGCCCCAAACTCTTCCCAGCTGGTGATGAAAAGAGCAGTGACTAACAGAAGCATCTCTTACTGAACTGGGAGCTACTGGATGGGTCCCCACTCCCCTTCCCTGCTGGGGAGAACATCCTCATGGCTTCTTCTGCTCTCTGGGGCACCCTCCCTTCCATCCAGCCTCTCTTTACCCCAGCAACTTATCCATTGATGGGGGTCTCTTCAGCACAAAGGGTAGATCTACACTGCTAAACTTTTAGAGCTAGTGCACTAGAGATAGCAGTCCAGGTGTTGCAGTTCTGGCAGAGACCTGTGGTGGCTGCCCAAGCTCAGACCAAGGGGGTTGCATGGACTTGAGACCTGCTGCCCGAGCCACAACATTCACGCTATTTTTAGCACACTAGTTCCAGACCCACTAATGCAAGGCTGTCTTCTCGGGTTGGGAGGCTTGGTCCCAGCTGCAGTGTGGACACACCCAAAGAGGGAAACCAGAGCAGGGAGCGGCACCTCATGCTGTCTGGGGGAAAGAGGGGAGAAAGAGAGGCAGAGGTGCAACTACAGACTGCTGGCAACTGGGGTCAGGCTCCCATTGGTGACCTGTTACAGTCCCTGCCCTATGTGAACACAGAGCCTGAGGCAGAACTCACTTTGTTGGCGCTGGCCCACCTCTAACGACCAGATGGCCTGTGTCTAAATGTGCTCACCAAACCTAGCTTACCCACTGAAAACAAAGGCGATGGGGGGCAGGGGAGAGGAGGGTTGGAATATGGCAGGATAAAGAAACTGAACGTCATAACTTAACCCCATCCCATGGCAGTGGTCAGTAGCCCCAACACACCCTACCCTCCTGCTGCTGGCGGAGGTGCATTTAATCACAGACTCATAGAAACGTAGGACTGAACAGGACCTCAGAAAGTCATCAATTCCAGCCTCCTTCACTGAGACATGACCAACAAAACCTAGACCATCCCTGACAGGTGTTTGACTGACCTTTTCTTAAAAACCTCCAGTGCGGGGATTCCACAGCCTCCCTTAGAGTCGTGTTCTGGAGCCTCACTGCCTTATAGTTAGAAAGATTTTCCTCATGTCTAACCTGAATCTCCCTGGCTGCAGATTAAGTCTATTACTTGTCCTACCATCGATGGCCATGGAGAACAATTGAGCACGACCCTCCCTCTGGGAGCCCTCAACGGATCTGAAGACTGTGATCAGGTCTCCTCTGAGCCTTCTTTTCTCAAGACCTAACATGCCCAGGTTTTTAACTTCTCCTCACGGGTCAGGTTTTCTAAACCTTTCATCACTTTTGTTGCTCTCCTCTGGATGCTCCAGTTTATCCACATCTTTTCTAATATGTGGCACCCAGCACTGGACATCGTATTCCAGCTGAGGCCTTAGCCATGCCAAGAAGAGTGAGAAAATACCACCTGTGTCTTACAAATAACACATGTGCCACAGGCAGAGAATAGCAGGGACTGAGGTGCACCCATGCCTCTGCAATGGCAGGGAAATGATTAAGTAATGGTGCGGAGTGTGAGTCAACTGTAAGTGTAGGCAGGACTGAACCATGTTCAGTGCCAGCTCAGAAACTTTGGTTAACTCTTGTTCCAAGTAGGGCTCAGCCATGGTTTCTGAACTACTGTTGATTGTAGTTTGGTCCTGTCTACACTTACAGTTAAACCACGATTTGCACTGGCTCAGCTGCACTTGCTGCCTCAACAGCTACATTCCCTGGTGTAGACCAAACTTTTTCCTAGAAGATTTGGAGAACAGGTCTGTGCTTCATGAACATTGGAGACTGCAGGCTGCTTCCTGCCCCATTGTACATATTCCTTTCCCCCTCTACTGCGCAGCCTTCTTAGGCAATGGGAGAGAAGGACCCTAATCCTAACCCTAACCTTTCTTGCCTATGCGTGACTTGCTTTAACAAGGTGTTTCTGTGTCTAGAGCCCCCGTTACTCATCTGCTCTTCAGATGAGTGTTGCAGGGCTGCAGCCCTCACTAATTTCCTGGGGCCCATCCAGACTTAGCTCATGCTTCATGTCTCCCTCTAATGCAGCTTTATGGTGCCCTTTGTTTCAGCTTCTGGCCTGTTTCTTGGGGCTTTTTGTGTTGCTGTTGCCACTGGTGACACACTCTCCAGGTTGAGAGGGCAAGGCAAGTCCAAACATCCACCTCTATTTTTACATCACTCTTTGTATGAATACTCTGGGTATTCATTTTGAGGAGAGCTGGTTTTTTTCTAGTATCACTGTTCCTGTGTGAGGGATGGGGGATACCTTCTCTTGCTCAGAAGGGCGGGGGGGGATCAGGTATTTGACTAGTATAGACTATTCTTTTATGGGCAGGGAGCTCTGCAAGCACGGGAACCAAACTACTGTGGGAATCTCCAGAGACCTTAGTAACAGCAAAGCTCTTAGGCCCAGATTCACAAAGGTGTTTAGACCCTTAAGTTTGGGGTTTAGGCTCCACTGCAACCCAAAAAACTGCCACCAATCTCTGTAGATACCTAAACTCACTCAGCACCTACATTGTCAGGGTAAAAGTTCCTTAAGTGCCTACGTTTCTGCCTCTGGGCATGTGCACTGCTGTCTCACTCTGGGTGTCTAGTCGCCTGCCTCTACCTAAACCCCAGAGCTATCCATGAATCTGGAGAAACAAAGTGTTTACCCACTTAGCTCGGGTTTGAGGGCTGATCCAGCAGGCGTGCCCAGAGGCTGCCAACTAGATTGGGTCCCATTCAAAATGGAGAAGGAGGAGTTGCTGCCACCTACCTTATAACTTGTAGTCATAGATACATCCATTTTGCGATTTGTGCCTCACCTGTCAAAAAAGTCACATCCCAGCACTGGTGGACACTAGACTTGGATACGGGATTCCAGTAGTGGTCAGATCAGTGCCAAATACCTAGGTAAAATAACCTTTCTGCTTGTACTTGAGAGTCCCCTGTTTATGCCTCCAAGATTCTCATTAACCCTTTTGGCCACAGCACTGCACAATAGCCAGCTGATTAGCCACCATGACCCCCCACCCCCACCAATATTTCTTACAGTCACTGCTTCCCATGATAGAGTCCCCCATTGTGTCAGTTTGGTCTTGAGTCTTTGTTCCTAGCTGTCTACATTTACATTTAGCTATGTTGGATGGCTTTCTGAAAGCTCTGCTCTCGGAATTATTTTGGGGCAGTTCCATGTGCTGTGTTAGACAGGAGGTCAGACTAGATTATCACAGTGGTTCCTTCTGGACATGGAATCTATGAATATTAAAATACATATCATTTGCTTGCACCCAGTTTACCAAGTGATGCAGATTACTCTGTATCAGTGACCTCTCCTTTTCGTTATTGACCACCACCCCCAATTTTTGGGTCATTCACAAACTTTATCAATGATGATTTTATGTTTTCTGCCATGTCATTAATAAAGATATTAAATCGTATAGGGCCAAACACTGATCTTTGTAGGACCCCACTAGAAACACACCTGTTAAATGATGATTCTCCATTTATAATTAAATGTTGAGACTTATCAGTTAGCTAGCTTTTAATCCGTTTAATGTGTGCTCTCTTAATATCATTCCAATTTTTTAATCAAAATGTTGTTATGTGGTACACTATTACCTTTATCAACAAAACTTGTAATCTCATTCAAGAAAGATATCAAATTAGTCTTGACAGGATCTATTTTCCATAAACCCACGCTGATTGGCATTCATTATATTACTCTCCTTTAATTTTTTATTAATAAAGTCCCACATCAACCGCTCCCTTATCTTTCCTAGGATCAGTGTCATACTGGCAGGCCCATAATTACCCAGGTTATATGGTTTACCCTTGTGGATACTGGCACAACATTAGCTTTCTTCCAGCATTTAGGAACTTCCCCAGTGTTTCAGGACTTAATGAAAATTAACATTAACAGTCCAGTGAGGTCCTCAGCCAGTTCTTTTAAAACACCTGGATGCTGATTTAAAAATGTCAAACTTTAGTAGCTGCTATTTAACTTCCTCCTAAGTGTACAAGAAATATCCCACTGTAGACAATGCCAGAGAGACATAGGTGAGCTGAACTCTTTACACTTGGGAGGCAGTGTCTCTAGCAGCTTTAAATTCAGAGCTGGCCCTCAGTCTCCAGATAATTCAATCTGCTCACCTGCAGATGGTTCTGGGGTCCCATGTGCTTGTCTTTGAAAGAAAGAGGCTTCAATCTCTCTTTTGAAGATGCTACATGAATGTCATTTGCTTACTGCTCCTTCCTCCCCCTCCTCATCTCCCTCCTCTGACCAGCTCAAGCTGTCATCTGACTCCTCCCATTGCTCTCCTTCGGGGTCCTCAGCATCCATAGGATCTTTCTCAGTCTGGTCTTGTCTGGGCTGAGAGCTGCTCTGGAGATGCTCCAGTTTGGCCCAGGTCATGGGGCTGGTCTTTCGCAGGGCGATTTCCACTTTCGTGGGCACCATGTTTACAAAGCTCTTCTGTACATCAATGACCTAGAGTGAGAATGGGGCAGGCATGTCATGGTAAGCATTCATCAGACACACTCGCTGGCCAGACATTTAGTATTAGCCATTATATGTGCCCATGATGCTTTCCTGTAGAAGCAAGAAGTCAGTGTAAAGAGGAGGCAAAGCAGAATGAAAACCAAAGCATGTGCATGGAGTCCAGTACCTGGGACACTAACACCATGGTTCCTCAAGGATTTTCTGTTGCTTCATTGTGGGGGGCTGATCACCATGAGTCTTAAGTCACCCACACAGGAAAAGGTGGAAGGTTACCAGTGGAGACGGAACGGAAAGCACACGTAGCAACTGAGAGAAACTACCCAGAACTTCCGAGCCTCCACTACAGCAAAGCCAGTACTCTTCTCCGCTACTAGAAGAGAGGGATCATGGGTAAAGTCAGGGAGGGCAATGACTGCATTGCAGTGATTGGCCCAACCAACTGGATTCCATTTACAGGGATTGAGGGCCTCCAGGGTGCCATGCAGAGAGATAGGAGTCCCTCCTGGGTGCCCCAGGATGCTGGGGTGCAGAGACATGGCACACAGCTGAGGAGAGACACAGCAAAACGAGAGGAACTATAGTTATAGGCAAAATAGGTCAGGGACGAGATGCTACAGGAGAATGGAGTGAAGGGTAGGGATAGGAAATGCACCAAGGCAATGAGAGTATTATTCCTCCCTCTACCTCAGGAGTGGGCAAACTATGGCCCGGGGGGCCGCATCCGGCCCTTCAGACATTTTAATCTGGCCCTTGAGCTCCTGCCAGGGAGCGGGCTCCGGGACTTGCCCCGCTCCACGAGTCCCATGGCTTCCCACGGCTCCCGGAAGCAGCAGCATATCCCCTCTCTGGCTCCTACGCATAGGAGCAGCCAGGGTGCTTTGCACGCTTCCCCCTCCTCAAGCACCACGCCTGCAGCTCCCATTGGCCAGCAACTGCAGCCCTGTGGACAGGGCTGTGCGCAGAGCCGCCTGGCCGCGCCCCTGTGTAGAAGCTGGAGAGGGACATGCCGCTGCTTCCGGGAGCTGCTTGAGGTAAGTGCCACCTGGAGCCTGCACCCCTGACCCCCTCCAGTGCCCCACCCTGTGCCCCAGTCCTGATCCTCCTCCCGCCCCCCAAGGCCCTCGCTCACCCCCTCCTGCACCCCAACCCCAATTTCATGAGCATTCATGGGCCGCCATATAATTTCCATACCCAGATGTGGCCCTCGGGCCAAAAAGTTTGCCCACCCCTGCTCTACCTACTCAGGAGATAGTGGGGTGGGAGGGCCGGAGGCAAGAAGTTACCAAAGCTACCAAAGAGAATGTTTAGGCTACACATTAGTAGAATAGGGAGGCAGCCTGGTCTCGAGGATTGAGCATAGAACTGGGAGTCAGGAGGTCCCGAGTCTAATCCTGGCAGTACTAGACTCACCATGTTACCTTGGGTAAGTCACGTCACTGCCCTGTGCTTCAGCGTCCAACACTGCACAAGAGGAGGAATGACAGACCTGCCCAAGGATTAGTTACTTACTAATTGTAAAAGTACAGTAGGAATGCTGTGAATTATGAGCAAAATCGCATCCTGGCTGAAATGCATGGCAGGTTAGTGGGCATGCAGGCAGTCTGTTCGATACAGGAGGAGACTGGGTGACCAAGGATGCTGTATGATTGCACAGAGAAGAGATAAACCTGTTACAGCACACCAAGACACATGTAAATGGAGTCGCCACAGGCCTCACTGTTGCACTCAGCCACTCTGTGGCCTTTTACTTGTTATTCACTGTCTGAATTACAGGCAGAACTGAGCGTGCTGGCTATACGTAAGATTGACCAACACTCCCCGGCATAAGACCCTGTTTTCAGCTGTATATAACTTTGCCTAATTATAACCATTTGGGCTGAAATGTTTTCTGCCAAGAGTCTGCCTCTGGCTGATTTTTGGTTGTTTGTTTAAAGTTTCAGCAAAAAATGTTCTTAGAATGAGCTAAGGGAAAATATATGTCGTTTTGCCCAGGTTAAAAACATTCATATAGCTCTTTGGTTGAGAATTGCAAACACGTCTCTGCAGGGACGGACTTGGAGCAGGGCAGAAGGGTTACCCTGGTGTGAGGGATGTGCCTTTTGCAGTTCCTAGGAAAACATGCCCACATTTGGCCAACGTCTGTGTCTTTGAAAGCATCTCAGTCTGCAGGTGCTCAGCAGAGACTTGCTAGCGTTTGGCAGTTAAATGAACTGAAAATTAACTGCACTGAGGCAGGGACTGAGCAGGACATTCCCTGCAATTGCTACTCCCTGCTGTTGTGGGCCGATCTGGAGCTCAGCCTGAGAACTGAGAGCATGAAGATGCTCTCTCTCTCTCGCTCGCAATCCCAGACAGTGAAGGAGAAAGCAGTCAGACTCAAATGCAGAGGGGACAAGAGAAGGCCTGAAGGTGGGGTAGTCGGACTGAAGGAGGAGAGAGTAGATTGGGCCAAGGCACCTTGGACTGGGAGCTAGGGGTGAGACTGGGCATGGCTAGCCCAGGAGAGTGGGAGCCAGTGGGGGATGGGGACAGAACTGGGAGCCAGTGTGTGTGTGGGGGAGATAGACTGGATGAGGAATGGGAGGGGATACTGGAATTGTCTGGGGAAGGAGACTAAGCCAGGGAGTGTGTGTGTATGTGGATCCTGAAATCAGATGAGAGCCTGGATTGTTGGGGGAAATGGGACTGGCTGGGCAAGGAGCCAGAAGGGGGACATGGAGGACACATGGAGGCCCTTGCATCTGGGTAGTAAAGCATCAGCTTCAACCTAACATGCAGTTGTCTCCAGATCACAGACCTGGTTGCTGGCAGCCATTAACCCCTTCTCCAGCATAACACCCCCCCCACAAGTCAGCTCTGCTCACCGGCCCAACACGGGTTTAAAATGGAGACAGCCTTAGTGATTTCTCTCTTCAGACAGGAGAAAAGTAATGAGGGGTGGAGGGGAAGAAGAGGGTATCCTGGCAAGGGGGCACACTGAATCCCTTGCAGGACAGGTAAAGGGGCCACCCAGAGTCCTTGGCATGGGGGGGAGAATTGGGAGACCATGGTATGGGGGAAAGGAAAGCTGGGGGATACCAAGAGTTCCTGACATGGGGGAATGGGGCATAAGAGGAGGGACACAGAATCCTTGGTATGTGGTGAAGGGGAGAATGGGAGACACGCAAAGCCCCAGACATGATGGGGGGGAAGCATTGCCGTGGGTCCCTGAAACACTGGGGGATGGGAGGGTGGCCCACAGGGAGCTTGTTGTAGGGAATGGAGGAAGACAGGGAACTCCTGTTGTATACACTGTGCTCATGCTCAGCCTAAAGATACTACAAGGAAAAATACTACAGATACTACTAAGGGAAAGTGTGTGGCCCTCCAGCAAATTAGGCACAAAAACAGTGTTAGCGGAATGCTAAGATTGCAAAGTCAAAGTCAAGCGTTCCAAAGTTCAGAAATGCTAGAAATAAGGCTGCCAGTGCACCTTTAATTTGGCCCCCTTTATGTGGATGCACCATGATACAGCCTCTAATTACATGGTCGCTAGTATTTTTTCCATATCACCCATGACATTCTGTGCAGAGGATGCACCTAGTCAAAGTTAAACTCTCTAAAGCCATCAGGACCGGATAACTTAAACTCAGGACTATTAAACAATATAGCCAAGGAGCTCTCGGCATCATTAATGTTGATTTTTAACACATTTTGGAACACTGGGAAAGTTTCAGAAGACTGCGAAAATGCTAATATTGTGCCAATATTTAAAAAGCATAAATAAGAAGATGACCTGGATAACTATAGGCCACTTAGCCAAACATTGATCCCAGGCAAAATTGTTGGAAAGGCTGATGTGGGATGCCATGAGTATAGCATATTTGATGCCACTGAACATGCTTTGATGGAAAATAGGTTGCTCCCGGGATGAATCGGAGTTCGGTAGATACTACAGTGATGAGTGCCATAGAAAAGCCTATGAGGAAATTAAATTTTATTCGGAGCAGAGTTTGAATAGTGTGCTGTAAATAAGGCCTGGGGTCACACATTAGACAATGTGGAGAAAAACTGCTGAATGAACACCAGCCATCCTTCTGTGCACTGAATGAGGCAGGAACCTTGTGGGAAAAAGCAGTATGTGATTGTGTAATTAAGACTGTTTCATAATGTGTGCACCCCAAGAGGGCTCAGATAAGGTTGCACAGGCATCCTTAACTCTAGCATTTCATAACTTTTAAATGCTTGACTTTGGAATCTTAACATTCTTTTTTTAAAGTTGGCATATAAGCTCTTTTGGGGCATGGTCTCGCTCTTTACTTGTTTCCGTGAGCCACCCAGCATGCTTCTAAACACTTTATAAATGATAGCAATAAAAGTCCTCCTGGAACTCTATAAAATGTCAGCTCAGAAACCTCTTCCAGGAAACCCAAACTGCCTCAGCTAGCACAACACTTCCAGCTGCCCACATCCCTCCAGCTACAAATGAAAAGAAAATGAAATATCAATATCTGAATGGAACAGGGTCTCCTCTGGCTCCACGAGAGATGGGCTCAAGCTGGGATGGAACTGGGCTCAGCTCTTGGGCACCATTACGGCCCAGGAACAAGTGTGCCACAAGGTAGCTGACCAATAAGCAGAGCTGGTCTAGGTCCCTAGTGTCAGAGCAGCAGTGGCCAGTGAAGCCAGTCTGGTTGGTTGGAGTTAAACCAGGGGCTATAAAGGCCCATCAGAGGACAGGAAGGGGGTGAGTTACTGGAATGGCTACATAAGGGTTCCACGAGAGAAGACATCAAGGCGTGCCGCTAACTCCTGTGCGGTCCCTGCAGCAAGGGGCAAGGTGCCCAGCAAGGTTGCTCTGGAGCTGCTGTTCCAGAGGAGTAATAAAGCTGGCTGATGGCAGCTGTCTGCAGAGCTGCAAGGAGTAAGAAGCCTCCTTCAGGGCCGAGTTAGCAGAGAGAAGGCACCAGCAGGGGAAGGTGATCAGCTGGATCCTCCAAGCCTGGGGAGTCGTTGAGGCGAAAGTGGCCACTTGAAAGAGAAGCTGGCTAAGGCTCTACAGCTGGCTAAATTACAGCCCAGCCCAAGGCAGAGAACTGGGGTTCTGCCAGAAGGAGAGACAGGGACTGTCTGAAGCACGACCCAGCTCCAGGAAGGTGAATGGGGTGAGGGGTGTCTCCTGATCTGGGACAAAGAGCTGACCAGGACTCTTATAGGGACACAGAGCAGGGTGACCTGGGGCAACTAACACAGCAAGTTACCTCTATAAACAACTGAATGAGGCAGTCCCCATGAAGTGGGTGCATGTTCTGGAGCCAGCTTAGGTCTGGTAATTGACTGAAAGTACCTGATGGGGGCGCAGAGTGCACTGGCAGGGCCACAAGGGGGTATGCTGGAGAGGTTCAAACCTTGACAAAGTGATGTCCCCTTGCCCTATGAGAAGGTCCAGGGTAAGATTCTGGGATGCCAGCCCAGTCCAAGCCAGCACTAGGGGCTCTGGAGAGTTCACGTTTGTACTTGCGATGCTTCCCCAAGAGCACTGACCACTCTTTGTCCAGTACAGGTGTCCACAGTTCAAGAATGCTGCTAAATCAGAGGGGCCACAAGAATCATTAAAGGATTAGAAAACATGCCTGAGAGTGAGCTCAGCTTGTTTAGCTTAAAGAAAAGGTTAAGGGGTGACTTGATCACAGTCTATAACCGTAACGCCAACCCACCCCAGTCGTCGGCAGGCTGGATCGAATCTCGGACCTCTGGTGCCTAGTACATGAGCCTCTACTGCATGAGCTAAAAGCCAACTGGCTCTTAGCTAAGGCTGTAGAGCAGACTCATTTTACCTCTCTCTCTAAGTGGTCTCGAGGCCACCAGATGGGACAGAACACCACACCCATGATGTGTGTGGGTTACATAAGCATCCACATGGTCCTTGCACTTAGGAAGGAAGAATCCCATGCACCGCTACAGGCTGGGGACCAACTGGCTAAGCAGCAGTTCTGCAGAAAAGGACCTAGGGATTACAGTGGATGAGAAGCTGGATATGAGTCAGCAATGTGCCCTTGTTTCAAGAAGGCCAACGGCATATTGGGCTGTATTAGCAGGAGCATTGCCAGAAGATCGAGGGAAGTGATTATTCCCCTCTATTCAGCACTGGTGAGGCCACACCTGGAGCATTGTGTCCAGTTTTGGTCCCCCCACTACAGAAGGGATGTGGACAAATTGGAGAGAGTCCAGCGGAGGGCAACGAAATTATTAGCGGGCTGGGACACATGACTTAGGAGGAGAGGCTGAGGGAACTGGGCTTATTTAGTCTGCAGAAGAGACGAGCGAGGGGGGATTTGATAGCAGCCTTCAAGTACCTGAAGGGCGGTTCCAAAGAGGATGGAGCTCGGCTGTTCTCAGTGGTAGCAGATGACAGAACAAGGAGTAATGGTCTCAAGTTGAAGTGGGGGAGGTCTAGGTTGGATATTAGGAAACACTATTTCAGTAGGAGGGTGGTGAAGCACTGGAATGCGTTACCTAGGGAGGTGGTGGAATCTCCATCCTTAGAGGTTTTTAAGGCCCAGCTTGACAAAGCCCTGGCTGGGATGATTTAGTTGGTGTTGGTCCTGCTTTCAGCAGGGGATTGAACTAGATGACCTCCTGAGGAATCTTCCACCCCTAATATTCTATGATTCTATGGGGAACAAATATTTGTTAATGCGCTCGTCAGTCCAGCAGAGAAAGGTCTGACAGGCTCCCATGGCTGCAAGTTGAAGCAAGACTCATTCAGACTGTAAGTAAGGTGTGAATTTTTAACACTGAAGGCAATTAACAGTTGGAACAATTTATCAAGGATCGTGGCGGCTTCTCCATCACAGGCTACGTTTAAATCAAGATTGAATGTTTTCCTAAAAGCTCTGCTCTAGGAATTATCTTGTGGCAGTTCTATGACCTGTGTTACACCAGAGGTCAAACTAGATGATCACAAGGGTCCCTTCTGGCCTTGGGATCTGTTAATTTACATCTTGGCACCTGAGCCCAGTTTCCGTCCCTTTCCATCCACAGCTTGCTGGAATAAGGGAACCAAGATAAACAGAAATCTTACCCCCCAGAGATCCAGCTTTGCCTGGAAAACCTTGTCACCTTCGAACATGATATGGACATCAATCTGAAAGAAAGAAAGAAAGAAAGAAGTCTCTTAGCAAGTACAGAAGGACCAACTCTGCAGAGCCGGTGAGTGAGTGAGCATCAAAGCCACACAGCAAGCGAAAGGTGTCACCTCTAGGATACGCTTTTTGGGATAGCGTAGCTGCACAGAATCATAGAAATGTAGACTGGAAGCGACCTCAATAGATCATCTAGTCCAGTGCTACTCCATTGGCTGCCGGCCTGCGTGCACTTTGGAAAAAGAAATCGCCGGTCCCCCACATCAAATAGCTTGAGAAGCACTGATCTAGTCCATTCCCCTGCACTGAGGCAGGACTAAGTATTGAGACTAAGCAGCCTGATACAGTGGTGTGTGTCCCCCCACAGGACAGTGCCCCCACCCCACCCCATTTCAGGCCTCTGTAGTAATGATCTGATAATCCATCTCCTGCCTATCTTGAAGCTCTATGGGAAAAGTCAAACTCCTCACCCTCAGCTCCCAGGCCCTGCAGCATCTAACCCCCACTTGTGTGTTCTGCAGAAGGAGGAGAGGCTGAGAAGGGGACCCAATGTGTGATAATTAGACAGATGCTGAATTATGTAATTGCTTATTGTCTTGTTATTTACAGATTGCAGCAATGGGATATGGAGCCTAATGCTCTTAACTCAAAGTTATCAAAGACCTTTGTGGAGGAATTGTAATAATACTGAATTAACAAACCACCCAACGCCAAGACCATAGTTAGAGCTGATGCGGCAGTTATCATAGAATCATAGAAGGTTAGTGTTGGAAGGGACCTCAGGAGGTCATCTAGTCCAACCCCCTGCTTGAAGCAGGACCAATCCCCAATTTTTGCCCCAGATCCCTAAATGGCCCCCTCAAGGATTGAACTCACAACCCTGGGTTTAGCAGGCCAATGCTCAAACCACTGAGCTATCCCTCCCCCCAAACCACTGAGCTATCCCTCCCCCCATTAAATGAAGAATTTCTTTCCTTGCCACACCTAAGCACTGCAAATTAACTTTGCTCCCTCCACCTTTCCCAGCAGCCAAAATCTTAAGTAAGGCTTAAATCGGAAGCCTTCAGGAGATTTTACAGATGCCAAGGCACAGTCACTAATCCTCACGGTGCCAGATTTTTGTGCTGATTCAGGGTGGCCAGGGGTTAACCCTTCAGCTTTACTAACAGACTCCCCACTACTAACAGAGGACTTACAAAACAGTACTGCTCATATGGAAACTAGCTGAGAGGGTCGAAGAGTTTCAGGACACAGTGATGCAGAGGAAAGAATATGGCCACGTGGGACAGAAGCCCACTCTCAGTGCAAAAGGAGAAGGCCGCAGATGGAGTGCACTGAGCATGTTGCTGTAGGATTACATTAAATGGACCAAAAGATGCTGAGGGTCAAAACAGGCTCAGCGTTATAATGTCATTATTGCTGGACTTAATAGGAGAGACAGACTTCCCAGTGCCAGTAGCGAAAGAACAATCCAAACCCCATCCAGGAGCTCAGCCCAGGTTGCGATAGGCAAACTACTGTGCTGTCAAACTAGGGAACCAATCTTAGTCTGTGCAAGGAGGAGCCACAGAGCTACTTAGATTCCAGGACCCTACTCAATAAATATTGCCAGCGTTTAGTTATAGATATAAAAAAAATAAAATAAAAGGCACCTCACCCTTGTTCCAGGTGTCTTTTGAGTCCACCCCTGCTCCCACTTCAATGACCCCTCTCCTCTTCCCCCGATAAACAATATTCAGGAAGGGGGGACAACCTCATCCTATTAACATTAACCAATCAAAACATATTTTGAAAAAATTTAATTATAAGCATTTCTTCCCTTTTCTAGAATCTTTTAGCCCATCAAACCAACCCATGACTTTACCAGGAGCCCTCAGCACAGATTGTTTTTGATGCAAACAGTCCAGTTGTACCAGTCTATTTGTCTCCAACTTTTTCTAACTTTGGTAAACAATTTAATGTAACAGGGTGAGCTGGACTTTTGTGACCTTGAACAACTGCGAGTACAGGCCTCTCTTTGCTAGGAGATGGGATTGGACGACAGGGGAAGGATCATCCATAACTGCCCTGCTCTGTTCATTCCCTCTGAAGCACCTGGCCCTGGCCACTGTTGGACAGGATTCTGGGTTAGAGGGACCACTCGCCTGTCCCAGGTTGGGCATTCTCATGGCCATTCTTAACACACCCTGTCTACTCTCCACACAGCTTCATTCGCACAGCGAGAGGCAGTGACAAAACTGCTCCCTGTGGCTGCAGCTCCATAAAGGACAGCCCTCAGGAACCACACCACAGAAATTAACAAAGGCAATCCTCTGCTGCCCAGCCACTCCTCAGCCAGGGCAACAATACTCTGAGCAACAGTATCTCTAAGGCAGCCAATAGCTAGAACACTGTCAGCCTGAGATGTTGTCTCAGCCCTTCAGCAAGAAGCAGGGTAGTCCTGTTCATATCAGGGTTATCCCACAAAAATTGAAACAGGTGCCAACTCCCTGCAGCAGGTAGTAGAAGGAAGAGAGAGAAGGCCAGAGCCAAGGGGAATTGCATTTTCCTTCTCAGGAGCACAAGGTCTACCCTAAGAGTCTATATTAGAAATGGGGTGTTTAAGCGACTGTTCTAGAGAGCATTAGCATGCATACAAAGGGCACTGGCTGCCTTTGACAGCCTGCACAGGCCTTGAAGACTAGCACGCAGCAGGACAGCATTTTGCATTTCTAGGTCTGTTAGCCCTGGACCCCACATACCACAGTGCGGTTGGCTGTCACAGAGCTGAGTGCTGGCAGAGGATTCTTGGCATAAATCGTCACCACCACTTGGCTGCTGGTTTGATGCCAGTCTTGTCGACAAGAAACCAACTTCTTATCCTGGTGAGGAAAGGAGCTGTTACTGAGGCCAGCCTCCAGCACACATGAGTCTGTATCTCCTCCCCCATTACAGAAAAAACAGATCTAGCCAAGGAGCCCTGCACCATTCCTCCCGGCTGATGTGTTAACTAAAGGCTAGAGTCACAGCAGAGCACTAGAGGCCAAGCTGGTCCAGCATATCAAATGTAACACTGAGTTCTTTACATTTAGACTAAAGCCATTTCCAACCCAGTCTGCAGCCCAATGAGACTAAAGAGGGACTCACTATTGTGTGCAGGAGACAGGGAAAAGCTTCAAAAACAGACTCCAAAGAGCAACTGCTGAGCTTGAATTAATATGCAAACTAGATACCATTAACTTGGGTTTGAACAGAGACTGGGAGTGGCTGGGTCATTACACATATTGAATCTATTTCCCTAAGTGAAGTATCCTCACACCTTCTTGTTAACTGTCTAAATGGACCATCTTGATTATCACTACAAAAGTTTTTTTCTCCTGCTGATAATAACTCATCTTAATTAATTAGCATCTTACTCCACCTTTTCATGTTCTCTGTATGTATGTGTATATATATATATATATATTCTTACTATATGTTCCATTCTATGCATCCGATGAAGTGAGCTGTAGCTCACGAAAGCTTATGCTCAAATAAATTTGTTAGTCTCTAAGGTGCCACAAGTACTCCTGTTTTTTTGTGGATACAGACTAACACAGCTGCTACTCTGAAACAAAGCAATTACATCACTTTTAATATCCATCCATCTCCTGTTCCACAGCAAGATCCTCATCAGGTTTTCCTAAGCTCCACAGTAATTTCCCAGGGAATCAGATGGGTCTGACTCCAAGGTACACAATTCAGTCTTCCAATCAGTGCTCTCCTTCCTCTAAATCTAAACCTCTGTTTCCAGCCAGCCATGAAGTTGGTTGGAGCATTTTCTCTCTCTCTCACCTTATACTGGCACTCATCACCCCAGGGCTAGAAGGCTTTGGGGGCAACACTTCTGAACAAAGCCATCTTAGGGAGCAAGTGTAATTCAACTCAGACTGGCTCTGGCACTGGTAAGTATCTAACACAGAACTGTTTGGTGCTAGGAATATTTTGAGAGGCTTTTCCTGCATTCAGAAGTTCAGCTGCCTGTGTGATCCTCACGCACAAAGTCCAGGTCAGTGGGAGGCTACCTGTCTAGGAAAGGTTTGAAGATGAACAGGCCCATAAATGCTACATCCAAATCAATTGTTTTAAACGTCCCTCTTAACCTGTTCTGTACCTCAGCCAGAGCCTTCCACACCCAAACTGTTACAACCAGAGAAACATTTCCTACTCAGCCTTTCCCTTTGAAAGCCAGGCAAAGGCTTTGGGCATTTGATAGTGCAGACACTCCGCTAGCTGATCTCTCTCTCCTGGTCACAGGGGACATTAATCTCCAGGGAGGGGAGGCTTGGGCCAAGAGACCTTCCTCCCTAGCCCACAGCTGCTTATACTTACCCACCAGCCCATCTAAGCAGCAGGGCCTTGGCACTCAGTGTGACTGGGCCCAGTGCCCCACTCTTGCTAACTAACCCTGTTTAACTTTTTCTATTTGTCACCCACCAGTGCTTTCTAAGGTGTAAAAAAAGCTGCACTTTCAGCCTGCCCCATCTGCACAGAAGCTGTGCAGTAGCCATGGAACATTAGAAGAAATGACAGTTATGTGTCTTGTGTTATACCAGTTGCACCAGACACAATTCTGGCCCAGTTCTGTAATGGCCCAGTTCTGTATTTCTGCCTGCTTTAGAAATGGGCAGAGTAATAAACAGCCATGCCAGTGGAGATGACTACCCTGTAGCAGTCAGATGAGTGTATGTTAAGAGGTAATAGCAGGATATTTCAAAGGGCAGACTTGTGCTGGTCTGATTTTGTCCTCTCTCGTGGTTTTTTAACAGCTAAGCAGGGCTGGGTCTGGTCAGTCCTGAACTGCAAACCTTCAAGGGAAAGTCCAGGTGGGGCATGGGGACCCCTTTGCACTTGCTGACAGGAAGAGCAGACTTTGTGTTAGCTTGGAAGTGCCTTCAAGGTTTGGGTGCAGCTTCCCCAGTCCCCTTGCCTGTTGAAATTGATTCAGCCTCCTTTGGAGGGTCACCAATGGGGAGGCTGTTCATATTCTGCACTGCCTGGGTCATGTCTATTTAGTTTTGCTACCATGCCCTGACTTTTTAGCTCATTTCCATTAGGTTTGGCTGAGATGGCATTTCTTTTTATGCATCTATTGCTAGCAGTTTGAAACACCTGGCTTCTGAGCTAAGCTGCTCAGGCCTGGTCTCAGACTAGGGGGGAAAGTTTAAGAAAAGTTTAAAAAGGATCAGAGATTCAAATACATTTTAAATACAATGTTTTAATTTATCCTCAGTTTAAAAAACCCTCAAGAAAGTTATATGCACAAACCTATGTGACGGTAGCATGTGATGAAAGGGCTGCATTCGCTAAATGCCAGAAATGCAGGTAAGGCCCTCACAGACTGTCATGCGGCCCCGCTCTTCATAGGCACTACAATATGGCTTATCCCGTGCGATCATACAAAGCCTAATAACACCTGTACAGTGGTTTCCCTCTTCAAAGCCCTGTGCTGTATAAATATTGTCCAAGTCCTTGCCACTGGGCAAAGTGATACTTTATTCAGCAAACGACAGACTAAAATGAAGAGGACATTCATTTCTCTTCATGCTGGGGTCTGCACTACGCCTGTAAAGAAGGGGCACAGTGAGCAGTCCTGGCCGAGTCCCACTCTCCCTACAAGGAGGGATTATTTGTGTAAACAGCACTAGCAGGATTTGACTCTTCATGCCTACTCTCCCCCTTTGCCTAGAACCCTGATGCCAATGCAGGCATTTGTGTTTCTGCCTGTGCTGTGTACTCAGGAAAGGAGACTGTGGTGATGCACACACTCAAGGCCTCAGAATTACAATGGTTTCAATCATAATATTTTTTGCATGTGATATTTTAAGAATTCGTTTGGTCTGTTGTGCCCCAGTGATGAGCAGATGCCACAGTTACCAGGACAGAGTGAGCAGCAGTGACAGTTCAGGATTCCTTTGCTGTCTGCTCACTGCTCTAAGAGCCTTATGGCAGTGGCATACCTCCTTCTTTAGCCAGCTGTGTTTCCCAGTGCTGCAGCCCTCTTGCTCCAGGAACACACTGAAGTCTGTAGTTTTAATGCCACAGCAACTCCAGTACTTCATACTGGGGAAAGAGCAAGAAACAAATTAATCTAGGAATGCCAGAAAGGGATACGTGAGTCTAGGGAAGATGGGCACTCTAGGGGTTTAGGGTTAGAGCTGTGAGAGGCAGGGAGACCTGGGGCACTCAAGATGCTGAGCATGGGGGATATGAGACTGACAGTTCCAGGCTGAACAAACTCAGAGGGACCAAGAGATGTGGCCATCTGTTAGCCTGCCTGTGTGACATGAGCTGGGGTGTCACATGGCCACAGGATAAAAATAACCAACACAACTAGCCATCTGTTTGGAGGAGCTGTGGACTGAGTGGGCCCCCCACGGTGAGTGTCTATCATTGTGGGGAATCTTGCTGTGCTGCTGACTGGTCTGCCACTGTAGTCAGGGTCCAAGGCGGGCAGGCAGTTTTTACAAGTATGGGGATAAAAGTCTCCTGGTTCCAAAGGATATTTCTTACCCCTCATGGAAGACAGGAACTCCTGGGTGGAAAATACAAGCCTCCGTCTCATTCTCTGCCCCCTTGTAGATCTGCCAGGGAAGAGGCAGTGGCAATGATCAGCACAGCATGCTGCTGAAAATGAAACCTTACCAGAACCTTTAGGGGAAGGCGGGAGGAGAATTCTTCTTTGCTTAAAGTGCAGCTGGTCCCCACTGTGTCCTCCAGGACATGGCTGGAGCCTCAGGACCCTTCACCGACTGTCCCTTCCTCAGTTCTCCCCTCAAACACTTAGCTTAGTTTTAATCCAGTTGGAACCCCCATCCCATGCTGCTGTGGCGGGAGGTGAGTTTCTGACTGGACTTTTTCCAGGCATTTTTTAACAGCTGCGAAGTGGGGTGGCCTGGATAGGCTCTTTTGACCAGCTTACGATAGGGACTCAAGTGCAGCCAATTGCGGATGGAGGATTTCTCACCAATGCCTGCTACTCTCGTGCCAAAGGCAACAGCATTACTGGCCTGTTCAGCAGGTCTAAGGGGGTAAAGCCCCTGGGAGTCTGGTTTCACCAGGTTTTTGGTCAGGGACATGTTTCTCCAGAGGTGCATGCTGTGGGGGGAGAGGTGCACATGCATTCAGTTCTGCATACAGAAGAAGGCACAGGGACAGGGACTCTGCCAATCCTTATAGGCCTTGGGCAAGTCACTCCAAGTGTTGGGAAAGACACATGCAGCATGGGATGGGAGGCTCAGATACCAAGGTGATGGGGACAGAGACATACACTCACTATTAGCAGTTATTTCAGCCCCCACGTCCGTCACCTTTCCCTCCTTGCCATTTCCATGCTTCCCCAAATTGTGTGTTTGCTCCCTGCTGGTTTTGCTACCCCTTCCACTCCTAGCAGGCACTCCCTGTGCTGTGCTCTCCCTCCTTCTCCCTGCCCTCTCAGTCTCTCCCTACACCCTTTATCTACTTCCTTCTGGATCCCACTCTCACCCTAATCCCTCCCTCCTTCCAGGCCCTAGAACCTCTTCCTTCTCTCCATGGTTACAGGCTTCCCAGCTGCATTGGGCTGAGCACCCCTGCTCCAGGGTTCTGGAGCAGGAAGGTTACACGCCTACACAAGCCATCAACGTGCAATGCTGGTGTGATGGAACTGCTGTCTGCTATGCAGACCATTCCAGGGGCCTGCTCTCCTGGCCAGTGGAGCCTTCAGTAAGAGCTTTTTGGGAAGCCTGTTCGATTTCGGTGACAGAAGTGGAGACGCCAGCTTTGCTGTGGGGCCAGCAGATTCCACCCCAAACCTTCACTGTGACTGAAGAAAATGCAGCTAGATGTTCCTGTCATAAGTCCTAGGTGCTGACACTTACTACTTTTGGTGGGCACTAGAGAGATCATGAAGACCCTCTCCCCGCTAGTTGCCAAACAAACCCAGAATCATAGAATCATAGGATATTAGGGTTGGAAGAGACCTTAGGAGGTCATCTAGTCCAGCCCCCTGCTCAAAGCAGGACCCACACCCACTAAATCATCCCAGCCAGGGCTTTGTCAAGCTGGGCCTTAAAAACCTCTAAGGAAGCTGGTCCCTGCCAGTGCACGGCACTGAGCCAGAAGCAGCAGGGAAGGGAGCATGTCCATAGAGCTACAGCTCTGAGATCTGATTCCTCAGACCCTGGGACACCCTGACCTGGACTTTGGAACACAAAGAGCCAAGGGTGCAACTCACCGCCATACAGCCTGAGTTCTTACAGGTGGTGCCAGTTCTGACCTCCGGAATGGCCTCTGCTGTAAGCAACACACATAGCAAAGAGCTCTTTAATTCTCCTTTTCTTTTTATCAGGCTTAGACATTCACCCAGGTGTTCCACTCACACGCTCATCACCCAGGACCATGAGCCACATTATTCTTCACAAGGATACCAGTCCATAGCCCCCCAGTGCACAGCTCAGTCCTGGCATACAACCCCACAGCCTGCCACACCGTGCAGTCCCTCTGCATAACACACATACCTGCTTCTAAGTTTTGCACCCTCCATGCTTTCCATAAAGCACAGCCCAAGACCACCCTGCCAGGTCCATCCCCATCTTCTCACCCCTGCACAAGGAATCTCCCTCTGGGCATTGGTTTTTGGAGGCCAGCTTCAGCTTCTCCAAGGTCTGCTCCAGAGATCTGGACACTTTAATCAGCAGTGGCTGTCTTGGCTCATCAGAGCTGGAAAGAAAAACCACACACAACACAACAACAAACGGCATTTTTTTCCCATCTTGAGAGGGAAGCAGGGGCAGGGCCATTTACATAGCCAGTGCCTGACTCACCTTGGCCTTTCACGCTGCATCTTCTCAGCTGATTTTGGGCTTTGGATGATGAGTTCTGTGCTTGGCTTGGCCTTCAGCTTTTCTGAGGTATCCTCTGGCCGAAAGGGCTCGGGGGGCTTCTCATTGCTGTGACACCCCTTCATGCAGCCCTGAGGGGAGGGACCAGAGACAAGCCTAACACTCCTTTTGACCTCCCCACGCAAGGGGCTTTTAGGTCATGGTCATAGACTCACAGACTTTAGGGCCAGAAGGGACCAGCGTGATCATCTAGTCTGACCTCCTGCACATTGCAGGCCACCGCACCTCACCCACCCCCTCCTGTAGCAGGCCCATAATCTCTGGCTGAGTTACTGACATCTTCAACATGTGATGTAATGACATCAAGTTACAAAGAATCCACCATTTACTCTCCTCCAGAGCAGCAAGTGACCCATGCCCCATGCTGCAGAGGAAGACTGCCCCAGAACTCCACAAAGCAAGGACACTAAGCACACTAACATGTGGGGCACTGTGCAGGGGACAGTCCCTAACCTCAGCAGCCCAAGGGAGCAGAGCATCACGCTGTGCCTGGCTGCATTAACTGCCAGGAAGTTGTGTCAAAAGCATCCCAACAGCCTAGCACTAAAGTGCAGCAGAAGGGGATGGCCCAGGAATCTCTTAGTGCCAATGGGCAAAGGGCACAGAGGGGGTGCCTGGGTGACAAGGATCTCCTGGGTCTGGGACATACATTCTATCTAGAATGTCAAAGAATCTAGAATATCAAAGAATGTCGTGTGAGGTCTCAAAGAAAAGCCAGTGTCACACTGGTCATCAGTATAATCACAAACGGCACGTACAGATGCTGGGTAAGGAGTTATGTATATACACTGACAATTATGTACTTAAGGTCTGTGTCTAGGGCTGGCCACTAGCAAGGGTGAAAAAGCGGTTTTTGTCAGACAAGAAGTGTCTGGCTGTTTTCACCTAAATTAAGTACTGTGTGGTTCACAGCAGGTCGCCTCTCCCTAGTCTGAACCGAATGCTAATGAAGGACTGTGAAGTGAAGAAAAGTAACAGGAAGAAGCAAACACCTGGGGGAGAGGGGTGGGAGAAGAGAGACCCCAGCTTGAGGTGCACATCAACGATTTGCTCTAGAGTATTTGGGGGACAAAATGACACCCCAGCATCCTTCCCTGAGGCAGCAAATGGACAGTCAATTTGCTTCATAAAAGAGGGGTCTCAGCCAGGCTTGGCTGAAAACGCTGGTGAGAATAATGGATGAGATAAGCTGTTAAACAAGAGAATAACTTGTTTTAGTCTCTAGAAAACATGTTATGATTTTGATTTGTAAGTAACCCATTTTCCCAGTATTCTCACTATCACGTGAATCTCGGTACTCTGACAATAAACGCATTCTTGTTTTCATTATAACTAGATCTCAGTGCTGTGGTGTTAAGCAAAGTGCAGAACCTGAGTTGAGTCTTACAAGCTGGAATACGGTTCCTTAGGCCTGTGAGTGTTCAGTGGAGGGGGCTGGACACTACAGGGAACACTCCAAGGATCTGGCAGTTGGTGTGTCCCTATTGCTACCCGAACAGAGAAACCGAGGCTTGAAGAGGCCTAGAAGGTTCTATATGTGCTTCCAGAGGCTGGTGGTTTCAAGGATCTGATCCACATCTGGCACAAACAAGACTTCCGCATGTTGAGGGTAGGTGGTGGTGACGTACCTCACAACCCTGGGTACCTCTGGGGAACATCACCAAGAGGCCTCTGGCTCTTTTTTCTGTGTACCAGCCCTTTGCTGGTGAAGGGCAATGTGCATAACAGTTAGCCAGAAAGGCAGACATTGCAATAATCAACACAGGAGATCCCAGGGCCTGAGCAGGAGTGTTAGCTACTGGGACGGAGATGGGTGGGAGATTTTGACATGCTGCAAACGAAGAAATTACAAGATTTGGGTTTGGCCTGGATGTGATGGGAGGAGTGAGAGACAGCCCCCGAGTTAAGTGCTTGAGTGAGAGAAAAGAGAGTTGTGAGGAAGAAGTGAGGAAGGAAGGTTTTTTTCAGCCATCTTAAATATGACTGGTAAGCAATCCAGGAGCAGTCCGTGAGAGACTGAGAAGCAGGACTAGGCAGAGAAAGTTAGATCCATGCCCACCAACCGGTATCTAGGACTCAGGTGAGTAACATGATTAAGCTGAGAGAATTCCCACTAGAGAAGGGGAACCAGGAGAGATGGGTGGGACATGGATGGACCAGATTCTGGACAGGGAATTGGATGGGGAGGAGACAGACTGGATGGAGACAGGGAACCAGCCAAGAGAGGGACAGACTGGCAGGGGCAGAGATGGGGAAATGGACAGGGTGGGGACCAACCAGGCAGAGATAAGGATCTGGCCAGGGATGGACCAGCCAGGGATAGGGATCTGGCCAGGGAAGTTGACAGGGCCGGAAGAGACCAGCCAGGGGTAGGGATCTGGCCAGGGAAGTGGACAGGGCAGGGATGGACCAGATGGGGATAGGGATCTGGCCAGGGAAGTGGACAGGGCAGGGAGGGACTGCCCAGGGATAGGGATCTGGCCGGGGACAGACTGGCCAGGGATAGGGATCTGGCCAAGGAAATGGAGGGGGCACGGACAGACTGGCCGGGGATAGGGATCTGGCCAGGGACGGACCAGCCGGGGATAGGGATCTGGCCAGGGAAGTGGATGGGGCAGGGACAGACCAGCCAGCGGTTTGGATCTGGCCAGGGAAGTGGATGGGATAGGGACAGACCAGCCAGGGGTAGGGATCTGGCTAGGGAAGTGGACAAAGCAGGGACGGACCGGCCAGGCAGCCAGAGGGTTCTGGTGTTTTGTTTTGGGGTCCAGGTGTGTCTGAGAGAGAATCATAGAATATCAGGGTTGGAAGGGACCTCAGGAGGTCACCTAGTCCAACCCCCTGCTCAAAGCAGGACCAATCCCCAATTAAATCATCCCAGCCAGGGCTTTGTCAAGCCTGACCTTAAAAACTTCTAAGGAAGGAGATTCCACCACCTCCCTAGGTAACACATTCCAGTGTTTCACCACCCGCCTACTGAAAAAGTTTTCCCTAATATCCAACCTAAACCTCCCCCATTGCAACTTGAGACCATTTCTCCTTGTCCTGTCATCCGCTACCACTGAGAACCGTCTAGATCCATCCTCTTTGGAACCGCCTTTCAGACAGTTGAAAGCAGCTATCAAATCCCCCCTCATTCTTCTCTTCTGTAGACTAAACAATCCCAGTTCCCTCAGCCTCTCCTCATAAGGCATGTGTTCCAGTCCCTTAATCATTTTTGTTGCCCTCCGCTGGACTCTCTCCAATTTTTCCACATCCTTCTTGTAGTGTGGGGCCCAAAACTGGACACAGTACTCCAGATGAGGCCTCACCAATGTCGAATACAGGGGAATGATCACGTCCCTCGATCTGCTGGCAATGCCCCTACTTATACAGCCCAAAATGCCATTGGCCTTCTTGGCTATAAGGGCACACTGTTGACTCAGATCCAGCTTCTCGTCCACTGTAACCCCTAGGTCCTTTTCTGCAGAACTGCTGCCTAGCCATTTGGTCCCTAGTCTGTAGCGGTGCATTGGATTCTTCCGTCCTAAGTGCAGGACTCTGCACTTGTCCTTGTTGAACCTCATCAGATTTCTTTTGGCCCAATCCTCCAATTTGTCTAGGGTCCCCTCTATCCTATCCCTACCCTCCAGCGTATCTACCTCTCCTCCCAGTTTAGTGTCATCTGCAAACTTGCTGAGGGTGAAATCCACACCATCCTCCAGATCATTAATGAAGATATTGAACAAAAAAAGAGGTGGAGACTGGAGCACCTGTAGAGGAGGGTGGGTTACATACCTTTATAGAGAGGAATTCTGAGAAGTCTGTGGTTCGTTTCTTGCAACAAGACCAGCCCTGGACACAAGAATAAGATGCATATGGTCAGGTATGGAAAACAGCACTGACCTCTGGATCCCCAAATCAAACACACACTTTCTTATATCCTGGATCTCCCTTTGTCCTGCATGGACTGTCACCCAGACCTCACATAGGCAGCTGCTTCTGGCATCTGGTTCTGAACTTATACAAGAGCTGTCCCTTTGCTGCTGCACTCACCTTCAGGGCATCATGGAATATTGGAACACCTGGGTGGTACACACAGGAATCTAGGAGCCAAAAACAAGAACATAACAGCCAGACTGGGTCATGGTCCATCTAGCCCAGTATCCTGTCTTCCGACAGTGGCCAGTGCCAGGTGCCCCAGAGGGAGTGAACAGAACAGGTAATCATCAAGTGATCCATTCCCAGCTTCTGGCAAACAGAGGCTAGGGACACCATCCCTGCCCATCCTGGCTAATAGCCAGTGATGGACCTATCCTCCATGAACTTATCTAGTTCTTTTTTGAACCCTGTTATAATCTTGGCCTTCACAACATCCTCTGGCAAGAAGTTCCACACGTTGACTGTGCATTATGTGAAAAAATACTTCCTTTTGTTTGTTTTAAACCTACTGCACATTAATTTCATTTGGTGGCCCCTAGTTCTTCTGTTATGAGAAGGAGTAAATAACACTTCCTTATTTGCTTTCTCCACTCCAGTCATGATTTTATAGACCTCTCTCATATGCCCCCTTAGTCATCTCTTTTCCAAGCTGAAAAGTCCCAGTCTTATTAATCTCCCCTCATACGGCAGCCGTTTCATACTCCTAGTCATTTTTGTTGCCCTTTTCTGAACCTTTTCCAATTCCAATATATCTTTTTTTGAGATGGGGCGACGACATCTGCACACAGTATTCAAGATGTGGACACACCATGGATTTATATAGAGGCAATATGATATTTTCTGTCTTATCTATCCCTTTCTTAATGAGTCCCAACATTCTGTTTGCTTTTTTGACAGCCACTGCAGACTGAATGGATGTTTTCAGAGAACTATCCACAATGATGCCGAGATCTCTTTCTTGAGTGGTAACAGCTAATTTAGACCCCATCTCTCAAAACAGAGAGTGTCAGCACTTCAGGACACAATTCCCTATTGGTCAGCCAGCCCTCCTGCCCTGCTCCCTACAGCATCCCTGTGACATACCCGGGGCACAATCCAAACTAATGAGTAGCTGTGTCACCCCTGTAACCGTGGGTGCTTTATGATGCCCTTCTGTAGCAGCTCCCACCTGGGCCGCTCACAAACGGCCTTCCAGGGCTTGCTGGTGAGCCGCTGCTACCTGTTGGTTCAGCTCCATGGCTCACTGATGGTCAGCTGCCAGCCGGGGCTCTTGTGCATGCTTTCCTTGGCTCGCTCTCTCTGTCTCCCTTCTTTCTCCAATCTGGCTAGCTCTCGCTTTGAAGTTCTGTGGCTGCTGCTCATCTTTATAATTTACTGTTTCTGTTTCCCTTACTTGAAATAAGCAAACAGAAAGCAACAAACTGTAATCTCTCTGTGACTGTTCCCAGCCTCCAGTGCTATCCCAGTGCTTGAAGCATAAGAAGCTCAGGGGTGAAAGTAAGTTAGAGGACTTACCGCTACGCCGGAGTCCTGAGCAGGTGGCGTGGCCTCAACCGGAAGAGGCGGGGCCTTGGAGCCCTGGGGGTTCCCGGCTGCCAGCGCTACCCCGGGGCTCTGGGCTCTGGCAGAGCTTTAAAGGGCCTGGGGCTCCGCTGTGGTAGCAGCTGCCAGAGCCCCAAGCCCTTTAAATCCCCGCCTGAGCCCTACTGCCCAAGCCCTGGGGTAGCAGTGGTCGGGCTCCATTGGGGATTTAAAGGGCCCCGGGTCTCCAGCCGCCGCTACCCCAGGACTCGGGCAGCAGGGCTCAGGCAGGGATTCAAAGGGCCCTGGGACAGTAGCAGCGGCTGGAGCTCCGGGGCCCTTTAAATCCCAGTCTGAGCCCTGCTGCCCGAGCCCTAGGGTAGGGGTGGGGGGGCTCTGGTGGGGATTTAAAGAGCCCTGGAGCTCCAGCCACCGCAACTGCCCCGGCCCTTTAAATCCCCGCCAGAGCCTCGCCGCCGCTACCCCGGGGCTCGGGCAGCAGGGCTCAGGCCGGGATTTAAAGGGCCCTAGGGCAGTAGCAGCGGCTGGAGCTCCAGGGCCCTTTAAATCCCCGCCGCCGCCCTGCCACCCCTACCTCAGGGCTTTAAATTGCCCTCTCGGAAAGCTGGTCCTGGTACAGCGCACCAGCTCTTACCAGTACGCTGTACGGGGCGCACCAGCTTACTTTCACCTCTGAAGAAGCTGTGCACAAACCCTCGTTCTCTGCACCACTGTGACGTACCAAGGTACAATCCAGACTAATGAGTAGCAGTGTCACCCCGTCCCCTAACCTGGGGTGCCCTTTACCATGTCGTGCTGCTCCTCCAGTCTGGCCTGCTCACAAACCGTCTCCAGCATGTAAGTCGCTCCCAGCGATGTCTGTATGCTGCAGCCAGCCAGCCACGCCGTAGCTCTTACCAGCTTTGATTATACTGCAGGGTGACCCCAGCACACCCCCAGTGTTAGGCTTTCCCCTAGAAATAGGTGTCCTGGAATCCCCAACCCTCTCCTGGACAATACAAATATGATAAGTCTGTTATTTTTAAGATAATAATATGCCATCTTATTATTTTAAATAGTTCTTCAGACACTTCAATTTAAACACATTGGATTAGATAAAACAGTAAAAAGTGTATTAACTACACAGAGAGATTTTAAGTAATGAGACATAAAAGTCAGAAATGATTTACAAGAAAAATAAAGATAACACACAATTAGTGCCTAACTTAACAAACTATACTAAATTCAAAGCAAACCTTTTCTCGCCACATGCTCTCAACTGTCTTGCTTATGAAACTTTTAGGCCAGGACCCCAGCTTCCTTTGTCCCTTCTCATGTGGGGAATCAAAGGACAGAGAGAGAGGGAGGGAACAGGGTGAGCATTCCTTGAGGTGTTTACCCCTCATTTTTATAGTGTCAGTCCCCCTCTTGAAAACATTTCCAGCTGAGATTCAGGACATAGAGCAAGGTTGCCCAACTTACTGACCCTCTGAGCCACATACGAAAATCTTCAGAAGTTCAAGAGCCAGGGCCCACCTGCCAGAACTCAGGCCTTCACCCCCATTGGAGGTGTCTGCTGGGGCTCTGGGTTTCAGCCCCACTTCTGCTGAAGCCCTGAGACTTCTCTCTCCCTGCTGGGCTGAAGCCCCTACCCCACTACCTTGCTGCAAGGCAGAGGCCCCGAGCTCCCACCCGAGTCTGATAAACGGAGAGTGGGGGCGTTGGGGGGAGCTCCGGGAGCCACGCTTTAACAGTAAAAGAGACACATGCAGCTCACAAGTCACAGTTTGGCCACCCCTGACACAGAGAGCCTATAGGGAAGGATATACTATAGATTCCCTACTGCTCTTCCTCACTGGTTGGAGCGTCTTTTGTTCCCCTTCCTGCTTGATGACTCTGTTTATTGCTTAAATCAAATTAAGCAGAGCACACATTCCTATGTGTGACACAGACCTGTTTGCCAACCTCAGTTTGGAACATATGTTAAGATCACCATGTGGGGGAACCTTCATAACATCACAGACACTGTCGTCACACACATTTAATCAGGACAATACAGCCCAGCAAATTACGAGTTTTCAGACGGTACCTCACAAGGCATTCTCTGTACAAAGATTATTACATCAGTGAGTAGGGTGTGGACACAGGGGTACACTCTGTCATGGCCACCCTGCTGGGAGAGGCTGCAGCAGGAGTAGCTGGGTGCTTCCCTCACTGCCAGCGCTCCTGCCCTGCTCCTGACAGCGTCCCCTCCTGGGTGAGGCTGCGACTGGAGTAGCTGGGACATCCCCCAAGCATCCACAGCCAGTACATGTCTGCCCTGTTTCCTACAGGGCCTCCTCCTGGGAGAGGCTGGGAATGGAGTAGCTGGAGCTTCCCAACAGCCAGCACTCCTGCCTTGATCCCTGTGGTGGCCCAGCTAGGAGCTATTGGGATTAGGGTGCCGAGTTTCCCTTCTGCTGAGCAGAGTATGTGTTCTTGAAGCCTGCTCCAGCCGCCAGTGAGGTGCTTGTCAGAGCAGCAGGTCCTTGTCCTACAGAAGTGAGTGAGATTGCAATAGGAAGGAGTGCCTGCTGTTACCCCTTTCTCTAGTTCAAGAAGTTGGGCCAATCAGGCTATTAGTAGGAGGCCTATTAGAAGGAACATTGCCACCAGATCAAGGGAAGTGATTATTACCCTCTATTCGACATTGGTGAGGCCACATCTGGAGTATTGTGTCCAATTTTGGGCCCCACACTACAGAAAGGATGTGGACAAATTGGAGAGAGTCCAGCAGAGAGCAACGAAAATGATTAGGGGGCTGGGGCACATGACTTATGAGGAGAGGCTGAGGGAACTGGGATTATTTAGTCTGCCGAAGAGAAGAATGAGAGGGGATTTGATAGCAGCCTTCATCTACCTGAAGTGGGGTTCCAAAGAGGATGGAGCTCAGCTGTTCTCAGTGATGGCAGATGACAGAACAAGGAGTAATGGTCTCAAGTTGCAGCGGGGGAGGTCTAGGTTGGATATTAGGAAAAACTATTTCATTAGGAGGGTGGTGAAGCACTGGAATGGGTTCCTTAGGGAGGTGATGGAATCTCCATCCTTAGAGGTTTTTAAGGCCAAGCTTGAGAAAGCCCTGGCTGGGATGATTTAGTTGGGGTTGGTCCTGCTTTGAGTAGGGGGTTGGACTAGATGACCTCCTGAGGTCTCTTCCAACCCTAATCTTCTATGATTCTATTTGCAGGTCTGGTCCGCAGGGTAACACTTCTCAGATTTTCATTTTATGCCCCTATGAGATACTTAGCTTGGGACAGGCACCTGCAGATGCCCTCTGGACCAGAGGTGAAACTAAGCCGGTACGCCCCGGTACGGCATACCTGCAAGAGCCCAGGCGCTGTAGTGAGGTGGATCGGCTTCCCCAGGCAGCAATTTAAAGGGCCTGGGGTTCCCAGCAGCGGCCCCGGCCCTTTAAATTGCCGCCAGAGCCCTGCTGCCAGAACCCTGGGGAAGCGGTGGCGTTGGGGCTCTGGCAGCTATTCAAAGGGCCCGGAGCGGTAACGGCGGCCTGAGCCCTGGGCCCTTTAAATCACCGCCAGAGCCCTGCTGCCTCCTCCCCAGGGCTCCGGCAGGCTTCGGGGACGATTTAAACTAAGGACCTGGGGATGTAAAGGTCCCACCTCTTCTGGTAGAGGCCACGCCTCTTCCGGTTGAGGCCACTCCCCCTCCTAAGGACTCTAGAGTACTGGTAAGTCCTTTAAGTTACTTTCACCCCTGCTCTGGACAGTCAATGCCCTGCCTGGTTCTCATGCACTTCAGGAACCAGAGACTGTTCTGGGCTTTGAGGAACCTAGCCTAGCTAAGAGCAGAGCCTAGGGCCCCCATGTGTACCTGGAACTCCATCAACAGCTGCTATGACCCTGACCTCAGCCATTCAACCCCCATCTGGAAGGGAGTTCTCACTGACACCAGTTGCCTCCATTTACCTGAACTTCACTAGACTCCTCACTCAGGCTCCTGGCTTACTCGGAGAATTGGCCTGGAAAAAACATTAAAATTCTGCCAACTCAATTAAATACTTCCAGGGGATTGGATGGGGGAAGGGGGCTGAAGTTATTTTCATGCCAAGGGCCCCAGGTTAGCTTAACCCTGCCATGCAATCAGTGCAGATTTGTGTCAGCTCATGGGCAGAATTTGCATCCCATTCCACATTTTCAGGCACCAGCTATTAATTGGCCATGGATTTCCACATGCAGCTGAATACTGCTGACTCAGATTGGCATTTCCAAGAGTCAGGGAATCAGCTAGAGCAACTGGCTTACTGGAAATCCCAGTAGTTCAACTTCTGTTACCTGACACCAGGGCAAGGAAACATATAACAAAATTGAGGAAAACAGCTAAAATCTCAGCTCACTAACTCCTGGAAAACAAATCCACTTACCCTCAGAGTTCTTATCGGCATCAAATCTTTGCCCACAGCCCTTGTTGTAACACAGCAAAGCCATTTCCAAGGCTCGAACACAGCAATTGTAACTCCTGCCCTGTGGTGCAAAGGGTCTGTGCACAGATCGCTGTCCCTGCGCTGATTAATTACATTGCTCCGCCATGTTGCTGTGCAAAGCCTGCAGCAGAGAGAGGCTGGAAGGAGAGAGAGATGGGCTGGGTCTATCTTTAGGCTCAGCCAGAAAGAGGCGGTCTGGCAATCAGAGAGCAACCCAAAGATGGGCACATTGTCCCAGCAGCTGAGCTGGCTGGACATGTCTGTCAGCTTCAAGTGCCGCTGTCTGAGCAGACATTTCTGTCCTGCCCCCCTCCTGAGAGGGGAGGGCCCACAACAACTGCAGGCGGGGAAAGGAACAAAATAAGAAAGAAGCCAAATGTATCCCTAGTGCAAGCCCACAAACTTCCATGCCCTGGTGTGAATAATGATCTGATCCCTGCGCTAGGAAGGCTGCTGCAGCCAAAGGGCCTTTCTTTGTCCTGCTCAGTGACTCCACAGCACAATCACTCATCTTGCAGCAGCACAATATTTCCAGTGACCCACTCAGTCTGACTTTTGGGAAACGAAGTTGGGTTCTTCTCCCTGCACTGCCACCAGCCCCGAGAAGAACATAGCTAGTGAATCATAGAATACCAGGGCTGGAAGGGACCTCAGGAGGTCATCTAGTCCCACCCCCTGCTCAAAGCAGGACCAATCCCCAATTTTTGGCCCAGATCCCTAAATGGTCCCCTCAAGGATTGAACTCACAACCCTGGGTTTAGCAGGCCAATGCTCAAACCCCTGAGCTACCTCTCCCCCTGAGCTATCTGTTGTGGAGTCCAGCACATCCATTTATGTGAGTGTGAACAGTAAGCAAAGGTTGGTGTTTTTTATTGCATGTACAGTGTCATTGGGTTGGGGATAGAGGAACATCCTTAGACTAGCAGACAAACAGTTCAAATGACATGTTTAAAGGCCAGTTTCAATCCGAGTGCAGGTGTGTGCCAGGTCGTATTAGAACAGGGCTTCAGCAGGTGCTACTTTTACATAAACATTTTCTAATCATATCCCTACTTTTAATTCCTTACACAGTGACAAGGAGGAGGCAATACATTTAAGTATCCTGAACTTCACTAAGAGGGAAAAGAATATTTGCAGTAAGTGATTCTAAGTCTCAACCTTGGTGTATGGAAATATTTGGCCAAGGACAAGGCAGGGTTCAGATAATCCAAATGTTACAGAAAGAACCAAAGATTTCTAGCAAACCAAGGGAAGAGACATTCCAGAAGGTCCCAAGCACATGCATTGAGCCTCCAGAGTGACACAGCTGTTCCAATGACTAAGGAGGCTGGGGGAGGAAGGTGCCAGCTATTGCTAGATACACAGATGTCACTGTCCAAAGGCACCAGCTGGACTTTAGCAAAGCACCTTAGACAGGGTCTTGTGAAATCCAGCATGGATGGAATGTGCTGTGATAGAGAGGACAGTGTCCAGCATGTGCTTGGGAGACCTCACTGAATTCAGTGTAAGTATCTTTGGGGTTCATTGTATTAAACGCAAAGTTTATGTATTATTGTGGGCCAGGATTGTATGTAACCTCTTGTAAAGGGTTCATATGGCATCCCCTGCTAATGCCTGCTCTATGACTGCAGTGTTCTCTCTCTGCATAACTTGTCCCTCTGGACAGGTCATGCTTTAGTCCACCCCTTCTGGGGTAACATAGCGTCCAATGACCTTACAGCAGGTCTTCTGTCTGCCTCTGAGCTCTTTATACCCTTACCTCACAGGGTTTCACCCCACCTTCCTCAGTGACTGGTAGGGGAACCCAGGCCTACCCTCTACTCTGGGTTAAGAACATCAGAATGGCTATACTGGGTCAGACCAAAGGTCCATCAGCCCAGTATCCTGTCTACCAATAGTGGACAATGCCAGGTGCCCCAGAGGGAGTGAACCTAACAGGTAATGATCTAGTGATCTCTCTCCTGCCATCCATCTCCACCCTCTGACAAACAGAGGTTAGGGACACCATTCCTTACCCATCCTGGCTAATAGCCATTAATGGACTTAACCTCCATGAATTTATCCAGTTCTCTCTCAAACCCTGTTATAGTCCTAGCCTTCACAACCTCCTCAGGCAAGGAGTTCCACAGGTTGACTGTGCGCTGAGTGAAGAAGAACTTCCTTTTATTTGTTTTAAACCTGCTGCCCATTAATTTCATTTGGCGGCCCCGAGTTCTTATATTATGGGAACAAGTAAATAACTTTTCCATATTCACTTTCTCCACACCACTCATGATACTATAGACCTCTATCATATCCCCCCTTAGTCTCCTCTTTTCCAAGCTGAAAAGTCCTAGCCTCTTTAATCTCTCCTCATATGGAACCCGTTCCAAACCCCTAATCATTTTAGTTGCCCTTTTCTGAACCTTTTCCAATGCCAGTCTATCTTTTTTGAGATGAGGGGACCACATCTGTATGCAGTATTCAAGATGTGGGCGTACCATGGATTTGTATAAGGGCAATAAGATATTCTCCGTCTTATTCTCTATCCCTTTTTTAATTATTCCTAACATCCCGTTTGCTTTTTTGACTGCCGCTGCACACTGCGTGGACGTCTTTAGAGAACTATCCATGATGACTCCAAGATCTTTCTCCTGATTAGTTGTAGCTAAATTAGCCCCCATCATATTGTATGTGTAGTTGGGGTTATTTTTTCCAATGTGCATTACTTTACATTTATCCACATTAAATTTCATTTGTCATTTTGTTGCCCAAGCACTTAGTTTTGTGAGATCTTTTTGAAGTTCTTCACAGTCCGCTTTGGTCTCGACTATCTTGAGCAGTTTAGTATCATCTGCAAACTTTGCCACCTCGCTGTTTACCCCTTTCTCCGTATCATTTATGAATAAGTTGAATAGGATTGGTCCTAGGACTGACCCTTGGGGAACACCACTAGTTACCCCTCTCCATTCTGAAAATTTACCATTTATTCCTACCCTTTGTTCCCTGTCTTTTTTTTAACCAGTTCTCAATCCATGAAAGGATCTTCCTTCTTATCCCATGACAACTTAATTTACGTAAGAGCCTTTGGTGAAGGACCTTGTCAAAGGCTTTCTGGAAATCTAAGTACACTATGTCCACTGGATCCCCCTTGTCCACATGTTTGTTGACCCCCTCAAAGAACTCTAATAGATTAGTAAGACCTGATCTCCCTTTACAGAAACCATATTGACTTTCGCGTAACAATTTATGTTCTTCTATGTGTCTGACAATTTTATTCTTTACTATTGTTTCAACTAATTTGCCCGGTACTGACGTTAGACTTTCCGGTCTGTAATTGCTAGGAGCACCTCTAGAGCCCTTCTTAAATATTGGCGTTACATTACCTATCTTCCAGTCATTGGGTACAGTAGCTGATTTAAAGGACAGGTTACAAACCATAGTTAATAGTTGCACAATTTCACCTTTGAGTTCTTTCAGAACTCTTGGGTGAATGCCATCTGGTCCTGGTGACTTGTTACTGTTAAGTTGCTCAATTAATTCCAAAACCTCCTCTAGTGACACTTCAATCTGTGACAATTCCTGATTTGTCACCTACAAAAGACGGCTCAGGTTTGGGAATCTCCCTAACATCCTCAGCCGTGAAGACTGAAGCAAAGAATTCATTTAGTTTCTCCACTATGACTTTATCGTCTTTAAGTGCTCCTTTCGTTTCTCAATCATCCAGGGGCCCCACAGGTTGTTTAGCAGGCTTTCTGCTTCTGATGTACTTAAAAAACATTTTGTTATTACCTTTTGAGGACCCGCTAGATGGACCAGCTAGCCCAGGACCTGCTAGCTGGCAGCCAAGGATTCCTCAGAGTCCTTGCTGCCCCCCTGGACCACTTCCTACTTCTTCTATACCCCACCTAGTGACTGCAGACTCTCTCCAGCAACCCCTTTCTGCTGCAAACTTCCTGGCTTTATAAGCACCACCCAGCCCCTCCCCAACTGTGCTCCATCATCAGTCAGGCCCACATTAACCCATTCATGGCCTGTGTGGGGTACACACCCCATTGCACCTCTCCAGGGGGGAGATGTGATCTGAGGGCTGCAAGTTCAAAGGACTACCACTGAAAACATGCCAGACAAGAATGAACTTTTGGACAAGAATAGACAATAAGCATTAAGTGGATTTCCTGGGGAGTACCTGAAAGGTGGCGGGAGGGGTGGTTAATGCAAACTGCCCACTTCTGGTTAGGCAAAAACCCTGCCTTTTTGAAGCTATGCCCTGAGGGGCAGGTCTTTGTCTGCTGGTTACCTGTTCCTGAAGATTGGAGATCAAAGGCCTAAGCTGTATAAAGAAACAGATGAACCGCCCAGCTGGTCGTTCTGGTTCAGAATTTGATACAGCCATGAACTTGCAGCCTTGTGGGTTCTGAAGGACTGATGCCCACCAGAACTTGCGGCTGGAGTCGGAGGACCTCCGTTGAGCGTTTGGAATGTGTGAGGGTTTTTTATTGTTTTCTCTGTAATGCTTTCACCTTAAGGATAAATGTGCTTGCTTAGAAAGAGCTGTGTGGTGACTGGTGATTGCTGATAATTACTCCGTTCACAGCCTCAGGAGAAGAACCAAAGCACAGATACAGTTTAGGAAGTCTCGTTTGCTGGGAATATCACAGTGTACGCAAGGAACTGTGTAGCCTGGAAAAAAACTCATCAGGAGGGAGAGAGACATGAATTTCCACCCAAGAGAGGTGACAGATGATGATCTGGGAGCCTAGAGTGGATCCCTTGGTGGACCACAGAGGGGAAATACTGGTGCAGTTGCCCTGAACTGAAGGGTCCAGACAATCCAAAAGTTACAGAAATAACCAAAGGCTTTCACCAAACCAAAGGAAAATACATTCTGGAGGGTCCCAAGTGCCTTAAGTATCAGAACTGATATGTCAGATCCAGTGAATAGAGGTGGCTGCTAGGAGGAAGGTGCTGGCTACTGCTGGATATGCAGATGTCAGTGTACAAAGGGAGCATATCTGGACTTCAGTAAAGCATTTCATACAGGTTCTCACGAAATCCAGCATGGGAGCATACTCTCTGGAGCTTCCTCGAACATTCCACTGTCATCACTGAGGTCACAGGAGAAAAGAGCAAATGTTATACAATGTTTTACAAGTCCCAGACTGAGTTTGCCCAGATTCTTCCTCCTCCTGATTCTCTAGGCCCAGAATCCCACCAGTCTCCCCCATCAAAACAGAAAAACCCTCTCCAGATTAGAGATTTTAATTAATTGCCACAAAAATCTAGGAAAGTTTTATTCTCATTATATCTATGTACATAAAGACAAACATATCATATTAGACACCATTGCCTGCTGGAGCATGCTTACTTCTCTGCTCCATTTCAGCAAACACAAGTCACTTGGGTTTGATCAGAAATGCAGATTAAAGAGTAGACTTTTAGAAAGGAGGCACACAGGGAACCCACTGAAGAAGGAAATCAATTTTGCACTGCCCAGGTGTTGAACCCTGTCCCCATCCCTTTGAAATGCCTGTGAACATAATATTACTCCTTAAATGCCAGCCTGCTCAGTGCCTGCTGACATCTGACCTTCCCAGGCTGGGAGGTGTCAAAAGTCCAAAGGCACTGAGAACCACCCAGAAAGGTTTGGCCACAGCAGCCAGAGAGGAGTCCCAAACTTAGTTCATGTTGCTTTATAATGCCACCTTCCAAATCAGGCCTTGACCTCTGACCTCAGGGTGTCCTATCAAGCAGGCCAGTTAGCTTTTTCCTTGTCATTTCATAGGCTAGGAAGAGGGCGCCGTTGGAGGGGAGTGCGCGTATCACTGTGGGCATCAGTCCACAGTAAAGAGCTGTGAAACCTACAACACAAACACCACGATCAGGTGAGCTCACCATGCCTGTGACAGACAAACAGAACGTCCCCTACGGAGCCCACAACAGCCTCAGCTTGGTGAGATTCTCAACCAGAGCAAGATATCAAGAGAAACCCTCCCAGGCAGGAGAGACCGAACCTGGGAAATGTCCAGAGCCCCTTTCCGAGAACCCTAGGAGAACCAGAGATTCCAAGGCCAGAAGGGACCATTGTGATCATCTAGTCTGACCTCCTGTATGACAATTCCCAAAAATAATTCTTAGAGCAGATCCTTTACAGAAACATCCACTCTTGATTTAAAATTGTCAGTGATAAAGAATCCACCACCTTGGTAAGTTGTTCCAATGTTTAACTAATAAAATTTACACCTTCTTTCCAGTCTGAATTTGTCTAACTTCGGCTTCCAAGTGTTAGACCTTTCTCTGCTAGACTGAAGAGCCCATTATCAAATATTTGTTCCCCATGTAGGTACTTATTAGACTGTAATCAAATCACCCCTTAACTTCTTTCTTAAGATAAACAGATTGAGCTTCTTGAGTCTTGAAAATTAATGTTAATGTTAATGGTCCAGAAAACTCTATAGCCAGCTCTTTCAAAACTCTTGGATGCAAGTTATTTGGACCTGCTGATTTTAAAATGTCTAACTTTAGAGATGAATTCAGTGAATGAAGCTGTCTGTGTGTCACCTACCTTCTGTCCTCAAGATATGAAGAAAGGAGAGCAGGAAGCCATCTTGCCGCCCTGCCATGGAAAGCACCTGTATCCGAGACTTCACTGAATCAATGGGATAGACGGCCAGCCAGAAACAGGCCCCCCCCATCCCACCGCTCACTGTTAGGGGAAGAGAACCTAAAATTCAACAGAGGGAGAGAGACCTCAGTGTGGAAAAGGGGAAAGTCATTGGGGATCTCCCAGATCCTCCAGAGAAATGCAAGCAAAGTAAGAGAAAATGAGTGCAAGCACCCAGCAGTACTGGGACTCAGGGGGACAGACCAGGCCAGGCAAATGAATTACATGATTAGAGGCTGAGCAGACCTGTCTGGAGTTTAGCTTTTGTCTTGGGCAGAGGGAGTGGAGGCAACAGGGCTAAGGGAGCCAGTAAGTGCTGATGTCTCACCAAAGAGGCACTGGGCTTCCCACGTCTAATCTCTCTGAGGTGCTTGTCTGGCCTCCCTCACCGACATATCTGAGTGCCTCACAATCACTAGTGTATTATCCGCACACACTCCTGAAGTATTGTCCCCACTGTACAATGGTGATTGGGGCCCGAGAAACCAAGTGACTTGCTCAGGGTCTCACAGGAACTCTGCAGCAGAGCAGTGATTTGAACTCAGATCTCCCAAGCCCTAGAGTAGCATCTTAATCACTGAACCAGCCTCCTCTTGAACCACTGGACAATTCTTCCATTTGCAGGCCACCCCCAGAACCCTGCCCCCGTACCTCCTCAATCACCCCCAGGCTAGCCCCATATCCTTGCTCACCCCCCATAGTTCCTCTGGCATACCATGCAGCAGCTCACTGGAAAGCCTAAGGGAAGTGAGTGTCTGTGCGGATAAGCAGGGCTGTGTGTGGCTTGGCCTGGGGATGGCAGAAGGAGGGGGAAGAGAGCAGTGGGGGTGAAGCTCTTCTCTGATGACCCACGCACAAGTTCAGCCCCATGTCCCTCACAGCACTGCTTCCCCTCCTGGCCCCATTGCAAAGCTGCGCTCCTCCCATGTCCCCTTTTATAGAGCTTCATTCTTCCTGGACTCCCCAAGAGGCTTCTTATAGCTGCTTTCAACAACCACCAGGATGGAGCAACAATTACCAGATCTGGCAGGGGAGCCCATGTCAACGCCCAGGGGAGGTATAAAGGTGGTAATACGTAACAACACAGTTCGCTCTCCCTGTGACTAGCTATCAGCATTGCTACCTATTTATTAAATATGCTTTGAGGTGTGTATCTCATCAGTGCAAACCATAAAAAGCAAGGAAATCAGCAGTTACATCTTTCCACAACTCCTCAAATTCACCTTGTTCCTCTCAGTTTTCTTCTTTCCACCATCTGCAGCCCAAACTCATCATGGGAATATATATGTCATCCATACATCCAGCACTGAAACACAGCGACCTCTGAGCTAGAGCCCTGTGTGGGACAATTTTTAATTCTGCTCCTGTTCCAGCCCGCAATACACACTCCTATTCCCACCCACTCCCGCTATTATGGCAGCACGTCCTGTTGGACCCATGGTGGAGGAGGGCACTGCAGGCCTCTACTCTGAGGTGGAAGACCATAGATATTTAACAGCCCACAGCAACCCTTCAGCAAAGGATGGGAAGCAAAGACAACTCCTGTATCCATTTGATACAGTGCAATTTAGGGTAGCAGAAAAAATGGTTACTGACCTCTCGTAACTGTTGTTCTTCGAGATGTGTTGCTCACGCCCATTCCATTCTAGGTGTGCGCGTGTCCACGTGCACAATCGTTGGAGATTTTTGCCTTAGCGGCAGCAGTTACGCCACCTGTAGTGTCCCCTTGAGTGCCACACTCATGCATCGGTATATCAGGCACTGCCGGCCCTACACCCTCTCAGTTCCTCCTTGCCAGCAACTCCAACAGAGGGGCAGGTGATGGAATGGACATGAGCAACACATCTCAAAGAACAACAGTTACGGAAAGGTAGGTAACCGTTTTTTCTTCTTCGAGTGCTTGCTCATGTCATTCCATGCGAGGTGACTCACAAGCAGTATCCGTGGAGGTGGGCTCGGAGTTCACAGTCTTGCAGCTTGCGGCACTGCTCTGCCAAAGCCAGCATCATCTCGAGCTTGCTGGGTAAGCGCATAATGATATGTGAACATGGGTGTCAGGTGAAGCGCCAACTGGGGGAGGCTAGCCCACAGCCGGCCCCTTCCCCACCACCTGAGGACCTGCCCCCCCCTCCACCGCGGGAGGCCCCCCCCGTAACCCCCCGGCCTCTGAGTGCAGGATGGGCAATGCGTGGCCCCTGGCCCCAAGCACAGGGTGGGCAGGCAGCGCGCAGCCCCCCCAGCCCCAATGCCCACAGCCCCCCCAAGCACAGGGCTGAAAATTGCAGGGTATAGCCCCGAGATACTATGTCCAGCAACCAGCGGTCTGAGGTAACTGCGACCAGGCCAAACGATAGGGACGAAATGGTCGAGGAAAGAACAAGGTGGATCCAGGGAATTGACTGGGGCGTCGCTCTCGAGTGCACCTTCAAAACGAAGCATGCCGGGGGCCAGAAGCTTATTCACCAGGCTGGGCTGTGCAGGTGAGCGGGAGGAGGAAAGGTGGCGGCAACTAAAGGTCGTGTCTCTGTCCCTTCTCCTTGCAGACCCCTGATGAGGCTGCCACGGCCTTGGCTGGAACTGCTTCCGTGCAGACTGCGGCGTATGCATGCCCAGCAAGCGAAGGGTGGCCTTAATGTCCTTTAACCCATACAGCCTCGCATCAGTCTGCTCCAAAAATAGACCGTTCCCATCGAATCGTTCCCATCGAAACTAGACCATTCCCTGGATCGAGGTCTGCATCTCGTGGGACAGGCTGGCGGTCTGAAGCCAGGAGCTGCGTCTCATGACCACCGCCGACGCAAACGCCCTAGCCGCCAAGTCGCACAGCATCTGGAGAGAGCACCTAGCCGCCGCAGTGCCCTCCTCCACCAGGGTGCCAAATTCTTGGGCCAAACCCTGCGGGAGGGACTCCTTGAACTTACGGAGGTTCATAAGTTAAAATTAGTTAAAATTGTACCTGCCCAAGAGGGCCTGATGGTTCGCCACCCGGAATTGCAGGTTGGCTGCTGAATAAATTTTTCTCCCCAAAAGGTCGTCTTTTGGCCTCTTTATTTTGGGGAGTTGAGCTGGTGTGCCCTACTTGTCCTTTTCATTGGCCGCAGAGACAACCAGAGAGCCCGGAAGTGGGTGGGTATAAAGGTACTCGAACCCTTTGACCAGGATGAAGTACTCCTTTTTGGCCCTTTTGGAGGAGAGAGGATGGACAACGCGACCTTGGCAATTTTCAGAACCCCATTACGTACTAGTAGTGCAGAGTGGGCTGGGATAGAGGCTGAGAGGATATTGAACAAGGTGTCGACCTGCTCAGCCATCTCCTCCACCTCTAGGCCCACGTTCTCAGCCACTTGTCGAAGCAGGGCCTTGGGTTCTTTAAAATCATCTGGTGGGCTGGCCCTGGAGGGTCCCACAGCCCTTCTTGTCTGGTGCCAGGGAGCTGTGCTTCTTCATTTTCTTTCTGGGCACCGGTGATGGGGAGTGGTGACAGGCAGAGCCCAGTGACGGGGGTGCGCTGTGCACTGAGGCCGAGGTACTAGGTGAGTCTTGGTGGGACGGCTCGGAAGCCAGACTAAGGGAAGCCTCCATGAGAAGATCCCGCAAATGAATATCCTGCTCTTTCTGATTTTTGGGTCGAAACTTTTTACAAATACGACACTTGTCCTTCACATGTGATTCCCCCAAGCACTTGAGGCAGCTGTGGGGGTCACTTACTGGCACAGGCCTGTTACAGTCCACGCAGGGCTTAACTGGGACTCTAACTTCTAACTCCTAACTACACTTAACAACTACTTAACACTAACTACTATAAACAACTATTTACAAGGCCCTAAGCCTCAAAGTCAGAAGTGATGAAATCACTAGCCCTTGCTATGCACAGGCGGTAAGAAGGAACTGAGAGGGCGTAGGGCCAGTGGTGTCTGACATATTGATGCATAAGCGTGGCACTCAAGGGGGGGCCACAGCTGGCCCTACGGATACTGCTAAGGCAGAAATCTCCGACAACCGCGCACATGGGCACGCACACATCTAGAATGGAATCAACATGAGCAAGCACTCGAAGAAGAATATAAGTGACTGACTTGGAATTTGGTTAGGACACTAGGGTTCTTACCCCAATTCTTACCAAAAAAGTGCCAAATGATCTTCACTGAATGATGAGTGATCAGAACCGTGGTGTCTCATCCGTCAGATGACACCTCATGTAAAAATGTAACTAGATACAGATGGGAACCACAGTGCCACTAACCAACATACTGGGGCTCTGATTGGTTCAGAACCGACTCAGAAGAAAGAACATCCCCTGGATTACCCTGGAGTGGTCAATCTCCAAGCAATACAACCTAGCTCGGGAGGGCTAATAAGATCATGGTCAGAGTTGGTATGGCTCAGTAATTCTGGAAGTTTGTGATCACTAGCACTGAGAATACCTAGAACTTTCAGAATACCAACCATCTCCTCTAACCTGGTACATACCAAACCAAAAATAGCTTCTCCATGGTGACATCTGTCATGACAATGGAACCTGCCCACTGCCAGAGCCTGATTTCAGGAGAGACTATAGTGGATTAAAGCTATGGTCAAGGTCCTGGAATCTGGAGAAGCTTCATTTCCTCAGGCACAGTCATGCTGAGAGAACCTGATACACATGGAGGACTTGCCTGGCCTGGTTTGGGAACCAGGATTTTTTTTATAGGTGCACAGACTAGTCACAGACAAGGAGTGTTTGGACTGCACCAAACAAACATTTTCCAGACAAGGCCCTAATGTTGTGAGCATTTTGGGTAAAAGGACTCCTGGAATCCTGCAGGGTTGCCTTGATGGCAAACTATGTATGAGGGTGGGACCTAAAACCCAAAAGAATCCAAGGGAAGATGGCTTTTGTTGACTTGTGTTTGTGTCTGTCTCTTTTCTTATTTTCCACTCTAAGTTGCAGAACTAGTGGATGTCAGGCCCAATGAGGCTCAGGCTCTTGTGTCTCTGGGGTTTGACAATGTACCCAGCTGTGCTGAATATGGTCCCTCCCTGCTTGTTTGATTGTTGATCCTGATGTGGGAGAGGAAGAA